ATGTATTTTAACTTTGCTGCTGATTTCATCATGCTTCTTATAATCCCATCTTATTTCATAATTAATTTTTACTCACATAAAGAAAATATTTTTTAATTCACATATTTTTTTCTTTCATCTTGCGTTCTTCTACGTCTTTCGTAAAAGCCAAATTATTTTAAATTTCTTAATTAATAAAACGAAAACATTAGTCCCAACAGGAAATTAGATTACAAATAGGGCACATGATACAACAAATACTGGAAAATGTTGCCTTTCTAAAATTGAAAAAAATCTTTTGCTATACGTTGTACTGTTTATAAAATACATATAGAAAAGCATAGCTGAATTATTCATCAAATAATAACTAATCCCCCAAACGAAGGTTAATTAAACTTAGATAAAGACTTGAAAAGGGATACCCGAATTGAATCACTCTGTTAGGGAAAATTAATTTTACTTTTTCCATATTTTTATTTTTTTATTATTTTCATCGTAAAGACGTTGAAGTCACGAAGAAATTTTGACTCCCAAGTGATATTCATAAATTACGTCAATGAAAAAATCTGTATTCTATTATGCCGTTAAGGAAGTTTCGCACTGCGACCAAAGGTTCTACATCATTTATGAACAGCTTTGCTTGAATATCTCAAACTTTAGGTAGTTGGGCTTCATTTTATGTCTAGCATTTGAAAGCTTTGATTTGTTCTTCTCAACAACATAGCGATGACAATGTCAATATATGTAATATCGTCGTCATTTATTTCATTATTCATATTCGAGAGTGTATTTTAATTACACAATGAATCATGCATGAGATGATTACAATAAAATGATGTTTTATACTTATTTACTTAATAATAATTTATATATGTATAAATATACATTCTTCTTAGTTGTCTTTCAATTTTCATTAACAATGCTTCCATAAATCCATTCATTTATATTTAATATTCATTTCCTCCTATACAATAGCTTTTGGCATTTTACTTAGAAAAGGGATTCGAATGATGATAAATAGTTAAATGTGATGAGGAAACAAGACCGAGAAAATGAAATAGAAATGGGATTTTAAGATTTATAGTTTTGAGACACATGAAAATGCACTTAGGAATTAAGGATTTGTTTCTTATTAAAAAGGCTGTTCCTTTTATTAATAGTATGACATAAAAAAGTAATTTTAAAGCCTTCTTCATTTTTTTAATTTCCTTTATTAATTTAACAATTTTTTTTTCTTTTAAATATTTTTAAAGCTTTAAGAAAATTCAAATTCAATTGCTCGTTAAATTGACTAGGTTAAAAGCTATAAAATTGTACATCGCTTATGTAAAACGAATAGAATTATAACAAATTGGCGAGATTATTTTACATCCTACGAGGATGTTTATACATGCCATAAACTTACCACAGAAAACGATTTCAACAGTCATTAACTTTCTTTATAATATTAAATTTATCATGAAAAATGCTCTAAATTTGTCAAATATTTGCCTTAAAATAAATGAGCTTTATGAATGTTGAGTTATAAAAGTAAGGTATTTTGACGTATTTTTAATTAAACTATGAAATACCAAATATATGATAGACTTGTAAGCAGAGGCGCAATTAGGATTTCTGTTGCTAGGGGCGAAATCAAAAATTTCGTCCTCTAAAATATGAATTTAATTTTTAAAACTTAATATACACATCAATAGGGCGAAGCTAATCTGGAGCGTAGCTAGGGAGTCTGATGGAAACCTAAGAAAATTCTGTCTACTCAGCTTGTCTCAACAGAATCTAATCCGGGTATAGTCTAATTCTAGTATAGTGCTGGATTTGGCTCCAGCTTCATGCTAGAGTTACACCAGCTTTGTGCCAGATTCTATTCAATTAACCACAAAGCTAGCATAACTCTTGCATAGTGCCGGATTTGGTTTTTGTCCAGCACCATGCTAAAGCTACGCCAGCATGGTGCAGGATTCTATTCAATTAACCACAAAGCTAGCATAACTCTAAACTTGGTTTGAGTCCAGCTCCATGCTTGAGTTACGCCAGCTTTGAGCAGAATTCTATTCGATTAACCGACTTGTGCTTTTTGGATAAGAATATTTATCTTTGTGTGTTGATATTCATGTTTATAATATCTTTTAAGATAAATATCCTTGTGGTTTGGGGAAGCTTTAATTCAAAACCATGAAATTATATTATCTAAAACATTTCTTGTGGAACATCAATAACATCATTAGTTTGTGGATGAAACTAAAATGTTTATTTTGTTTTTTATAATTTAAAAAAATTATTAAGTTATCTCCTATAAATTAAACATCAAATTTAATAATTAACCTGCCAAGTTTGCAATGGAAAAAAATTAAAAATGAAGATGGGAAATTTTCAGCATAATAAATTCAAATTCAAAAGCACAGGAAGGTTTATTACACAGAAGTAGTAAATTCAATTGAAAGGAAATTGTTGAATTATCTCATAACACGTTCAGCTAATTGAGGCAATTAGTTACATGTTAAATAATTATTCCATGATTGTCCAAAATATATTTCCTATGATATCAAATTTCACTTTATTAATCATACTTTATTTTTCAGCACAAAAAAAAAAGCAAGAAAGAACAATAATGATGATGTTGATGATGTGCTATTAAGATATCCTTTCTTCAACAATTTTCCGTCTACATTATTATTTGTCATATGGTGCACATAGTTGAGCTTTTTTTTTTGTTCGCCTTTTTTTTGAAAAATATTGTGCAATAAAAAGTCATACTTTATTCTTTCACTTTTGTGTCTGCTCCATAAATGAAGAGTATAGCTGAATGAATGAAAGAACTTTCTTTCCACTCCATTCATTCATTTATTGGTGATGAGAAGAGCAAAGAATGTAGAACTAAAATCTGATAACAGAAAAAAAAAGAAGAAGAAGAAAAGAAAGAATTATGAAAGTTGTTGAATCTGTTTGTTTCACTACAACACACTAAATAGCTTTTCGTTTTTGCTTTTTTTTTTCTTTGTCAGTTTTATATGAAAGATACACTTATAGTGAATTGGATAGAATAAAATATAGTTTTATAATGACACTTGACCTGATGAATAGAAACTTTCCAAAGAACTTTCGTAACCGTCTTTATGAGTTTTTTTTTCTTCTTCAACTACCACGGTAAATTGCGGTAGATAGGATTGGCAACTTGAGTAGATCTACATGCATGTAGAATGTGAAAAGAGGAAAGGAAAATGTTTTAATTAAAAATTGAAAATTTTATTTTTTGCGGCAGTTTCGTGAATGGTTTTTGTTATGTAGATGAAGGTTATATTAAGCCATTAAAGTAGTTGAACTCCCTCTAGCTACACTTTTGATTCCATGTTTAATCGTAAGACAATTAGAAAGATTTGGTTTTTTTAAGCTAGTGATACTCAATCTATCAGTGCATTAGTTTCTTGAATGGCCCAAAGTGGTAGAGCGTTGGCTTTACGAGCCTAAGGTCTTGGGTTCAATCTCAGACTATGTCAAGTTTTAGAAGCTCTTTTTTCATTTCACCGTTCTAGTTACGAAGCTTTGTTCGTATGTCTGGTGTAGTTTTGAGTTCTGTGGCACTTAAAGTGTCTCCTTTGCTTGATACTAGGCTGTACCAGCGTCTGGATGATTTAATTGCAGCATCTTGGGCACACGAATTGTGACTAGATTCATTGCAGGGTACATCAGGACTATGGACGTACTAGTGTCTTGATGTACAGAGACTTCTTTAATAATTAATATAGTGTTAAACAAAAGATTTAGAGAATCTAGTTTCTCACCAAATTCTTTTCAAAATGGCGACATGCGTGGTAACAAATCTTCAAAATGGTGGCTGATGTATTGAAAAAGTTTTTTTTAAAAAACACTGCTTTAAAGGCAGAGCTCGAAGTTGGCTCGAGATTTTCATCAATTTTGTCGACTCGACTCCATACAAAATTTCATCGACTTTGAGCTCTGTTTAAAGGTTTTAAATTACATAATTTTGAATTTTGATATTTTTAAAAAAAAAATGCTGAAAAATGATTCTGAAACATAATTTCGAGATAATCTCCAAGCCATATAACAAAACGACGCATGACTTACAAAAAAAAAATTCAAAATGATATGTAACTTAACTTTATATTATTTAATAGATGATGAGATAGAGATAAGAATGCATATGATAAGGAAAACCCTGAAAATGAACGAACGATAACTCAATTGATATTCTTTCACACAAAAAAAAATGAAAGTATAAAAGAAAAGCTGACGAGAATGATAAGAAAAAAAAATAAATGAAATTTGCACACAAACGCGTATAAAGAATAAGCGCGTGTAAACGCAAAGATGCGAGATAAATTTATTATTCCCAACTGGGATTTTTTCCAAGCACCATACCAATGCATGCTTTTATAAGATAAAGAAGACGATCCGAAAGAGAGAAAATTTTCAAATAAAGAAACGAATTTATGGTTTTGAAATTCATATGAATTTGCGCGATTTTTTTCGTTAGAAGAGAAGAAACATTCCAAAATACCATGAGATTACATTAAGCAACAATTTTCACTAAAAAATTCTCAGTCAAAAAAAAATATACTTTCTTCATTTTGTGTTTGTGAACAAGAAAGGGCGAAGAAAAAATCCGTCGCTTCTGAGATGGAAACGATGAGCAAGAAAAAAGAATTGAATGGGTGGATAAGGTCTTCAAATAATAAAATGCGGGATGGATACATATTGAATAAGAGAGACATAACGATTGTTCCAACAATGCTTTGTATGCGAAATACATCCAAATATTATTCCCCATTTGATCGTTTATCTGTTATTTATTTACATGTATATTCTTCTCCTTAGTGCCCTCCTTAAAATTTCCATTGAAACATCATTTGCTGAGGTTTTTCGAGTTTTGCCAAAAATAAATTTTGTGGTTTCACTCTAAAACGTTCTTGTCGTTTGAATAAATCAATAATGATTCTATGCGTAAAATTGAAAGATTTTTTCTTTCCTTACTAAATTATCATTCTTTTTCTTTTCTTTTACAGATTATCATACTGATATCAATTGATTACCGGTTGCGAGAAGAAAGTGGAGAGGATAGAAATATATTTTCAAATCTAATAACACAAAAATGTATGAAACATTAAATGAAGTCTTAAAAATTCATTGAGAACAAGAGAAATAAATTTATGCATGGCATATCAATATAAGGAATCCCATGTGAACTACAATCATCATAACTTTTCTTATTGAAGAAGGAAAAGAAGAGAGAAAAAAATCAATCATTCCGAGAGAATCCTTGCAGGAACAAAAAGAGACATTTGTCTAGAAAAACTCTTTTAATTTTAATTTAAACGCAGTCGATAACTTTTAATTTTCATGCACATTTTCTACACAACATGACAACAATGTTTCTATCGAAACGAATTAATACAAACAGCAGGAATTGTGGATTGCAATTTATCTGCCTATTGTTATTGAGATTGTTCATTCTATTGCCATTAACAACGGCAAAATTTCACAATAGTGCAAATAGTCAGGAAAGACAATTCCAACGATTTGCTATGGAACCACAAGATCAAACAGCTATTGTTGGCTCTCGTGTTACACTGCCATGTCGTGTTATCGATAAGACAGGTCTCATTCAATGGACAAAGGATGATTTTGGATTGGGCGTTCATAGAAATCTCAGTGGATATGAACGCTATTCAATGGTCGGAAGTGACGAGGAAGGTGACTTTTCACTTGACATTTTTCCAGCTATGCTTGATGATGATGCAGGATATCAGTGTCAAGTTAGTGCAGGTGCAAATGGTGAGCAATAATTTACATTTTCATTCAATCTCAATTCTTTATCTAAATATCCAAACATAAATCTTTAATCTAATTCAGGAGCACCAGCAATTCGTTCAAGAAGCGCACAAATCACTGTGTTAGTGCCACCAGAGCACCCAAAAATTGTTAAAGGGAATTCAAGCATAGAAGAAATTGTTACGACTGAAGACCGAGAAATCGAATTGGAGTGTGTATCATTGGGTGGAAAGCCAGCTGCTGAGGTGAGTTTGATTTTTGAACTCCTTATGTAAAAAGTATCTAAAAGTTTTTTTTGTGTGCATGTATATGTGAATGTTGTCAGGACAGCAAATCCCATTATCATTAATCTTATTTCCAATTCATTTATTTTGTGAAATGGAATGCCATTTTCAATTCTTTACTCCTTTTTGTGTAAAAAAGCCAATGGAATTTTTAAGAATTTAACTTGCCACCTCTGCTTTCGATTTTCCCTCTTTCTTTCTTTTTTTGTTCTATCTGAAAAAGAGACGAGGAGAATTACGTCCCTTAAGAGAACTAAAGAAAATTTTTCCCATATTTTTTTGTTTATGTTTACTCTTGTCTTTCTTACTATATCCAATACTTTGTATTCAATTTCTTTTCATGGTCTTGTGCTTGCTATGGGAATTGATTTCATGTGGCATTTCTCCTCATCCCTTTGAAAATCGTATTATTCCATTGATTTCTTGCTATGAATTTCTTTTTTAAATGATGTCTTATTTTCGGAGTATCCAATTGCTGTGTGACTAGCCCAGCCAATAAGACATTGGATGTGAGGAGTCATTAGTACCATTTCTTAATAGACGTCATTTATGAACGACCCCAAAGTAAAATCGAGGATTAATATATTCTTTAAAAAATTGAAGACAATAAATCTGCTTAGGGACAAAAAGTTCAGATTAACTTTGTGATAAGAATGGTTTTCAATTTTATTTATAGATTTATTTCTTGTCTTATTGAAGCTTTATCTGGAAGCACGAATTAAATTTGATGAAAAATAAAGTTATTTAAATTTTAAATAGACCGTTAAATTGTAAATTTGCTAAGAATGTAAAAACAAGAAAATCCATTAAATCCCCAACAGAATAAATGAAATGTTCAAGTTTAAATTTTTTTCCTAAATTTATGCATCCGAAGATAAGACATTTGTGAAGATTTAGTAGCTAAAGTATCCACAGATTTCTCAAGTTTCAATTTTCCGTTTAAGAAATCTAAGGCCATAAATTCAAATTTAATTTACCTTAAAGAAATAAAAAAGAATCCTCAATAGACACAGTACATTGCAAAAAACAAATGATGCCCATTTGAAGAAAATCCCTAAAGAAATCCAGACTGTTGAGCTCAAAGAACCATAATAAGAAACATGAAAATTTATTTCGTTTCTTTTTTTTCAATTTATAAGTCTTCAAAAAAAAACTTTACGAATTAAGGTAAAACGAGATAAGAAAAAAAATCACTAAAACTTTGGCAAACTTCAAACTTCTTCAATCAACCACAAAAAAAGAGACTAAAAAGTTATTTCTATTATACATAAATATATCGCAACAGCAGATTTTTTTTTTGCTTCCACTTTATCCCTCATCATAATAATAAAATCATAAAAATTACTCAACTTTTGAAAATTATTTGATCATATTTTTTCACTGTGCTTCCTTATACCCATCCATACCTCATGCCTTCTTGTCTTCATCGTGAACAAAAAATTCTTTCATAATAAGATAGTTTCGTAAAAGAATGAGGAGCGAGTAAGCTATTACAGTATAGATGAAAATGGAGAACTTTTCTTCCTCCTTTTTTTCATTTTGCATTTCTCTCTTGAGATGCTTTTACTGCTGCTGCTGTTTTTCATATGCTCCATTGTTTATTTCAATGGAAAAGAAATGAAAGGAAAACTTCAATGCGGGACTTGAATAAAGGAAAGAGTACAGGAGAATAGAAAAGTTAAAACATTGCAATTGCAGAAAAGGTAAAAAAAACTGAAAAGGAAATAAACAAGTGTATCTTGAAATTTAAATCTAAGTTACTTCATTATGATTTAAAAAACACGTAAACTCAAAGAAATAATTTTTTTGAAATATTCTGAAAAACTTGAAAAATAATTTGAATTTTTTGAAAAATTTTGAAAAATTAATTTAAAATTTTGTAATTAATATCAAAAATATTTTAAAAATGAAACAATTTATTTTTATTGTTTTTATAAATTACAAAAATATTTTTAAAAAATGAATATGATAAAACATTTGAAACGATTTTAAAAATTGAAAAAATATAAAAATCACAAATATTTTTAAAATCAATTTAAAATTTCATAATCATTTTTTAAAAAAAATTCTAATCAGTGTATGGTACACACATAGATACATCGTAAAGGAACTAAGGATATAAATTTGTGTACATGTGAAGATGCTACAGTAGCTATTACTGTTGAGACTATATGAATATGCGCTACTTCTATGCCGTTCATTTGTAATGAAAGTGACATGAGCAAAAAATAAATATATAAGAAAACCTCAAAGAAACAGCAACAGAACCATCTGTATCGCATGGATGAGCTAGATATAAAACTTTAAAGGAATATAACACAACAGCCAAGATTTACTAGTGGCATAAGCAAGAAAGCTTCTTCGTGGAATTTTCTATCTGTAGTCATGTTAATTTAAAAACTTTTTTCATTTCATATACAACACAACTTTATCAACTACTCTCTTCGACTTTCCTTTACTCTTCTTTGCTTAATATCCTACAAACATTTTTATTTTTCCTTATATTCAATTTTTCACCCGCTTCTCCTTTTATTCTGGCGTCTCTTTTCAAAAAAAAAATTTAAAGTTTTTCATGGAAAAGATAAAAATTAAAAGTTTATAGTTAAAAGTAAGTCACAGGAGATGAATTTTAATGAGATGGTGTTGTTATTTTATAGTTTTTTTTTTCTTTCTGTCTTTTCTGGGAAAAGCAACTTCAAACGAGCTTTTTATCTTCTTATCATTTTGCTTGGCACTTTTAGAATAAAAATGAAACTTGCAAAAGCAGGCGAATGGGTCTGTAAAGGAACGACGGAATAAATAAAACCTTGTAAATGATGAGAAACAAATAAGTTTTTAACTTTTGAAATTAAATAATATCACAAAACTTTTCATCTTTTATGAAAAAGTTGTGTTCTTAAAGTGAAGTTTAAAGAAGAAACAATTTGTGTCCTTAGGGGTAATTCATAAGTAATGTCTGATTTTACAAAAAATGAGGATCCTTAAAAATCACAATTAATAAGCAACGTCATTTATGAATGACTCCAAATGTATGTTTCGTCCTTTGAAAATTTAAAATTCCATGACGATGATAGTCCGATAACTGAATGATTGAATGAGCATAATTTTAAAAGTTTATTTTATATTTTAAAGCTAGCTGTTTCCAAATGTTAATGCTTTATTTAATTTCATACAGATAACATGGATAGATGGAATGGGAAATGTACTAACATCTGGTGTTGAATATATGAAAAATTTAATGCCAGATAACAAGCGATATGAAGCACGATCAATACTAAAATTAATTCCCAAACGATCTCATCATAACACGACAATCATATGTCAGGCATTAAACTCCGCGGACCGACAAGAGAAGACAGCAAAATTAAAATTGACTGTGAAATATGCACCAAAAGTGACTGTGTCAGTAATAAGTGGTGCATTAGCTAATGAAAAAATTCCCGAAGGAGTCGAAGTGCGACTCGCTTGTCATGCGGAAGCAAATCCAAATGATCTCAAATACAGATGGTACATTAATGGTGAGCCAGCCATTGGAGATTATACAACTGAAATGATAATTCACAATATATCACGAAAATATCATAATTCAATTATTAAATGTGAAGTTGAAAATGCAGTTGGAAAAAGTGAATCAAGTCAATTTTTAGAAATTCGTTATGGACCTGCCTTTAAACGTCCATTAAAATCTGTTGAAGCCGATGAAGGTGATACAGTTACGCTAACTTGTGATGTTGATGGAAATCCTACGCCTGATATTGAATGGATCTCTGATGCCACCGGAAAGGTATGTACTCCTACCTCACTTAGTCATTAAAACGTCTTTATACATTTGCCTTCCATTTAAATCCTCTTGTATGCATAAAATATTTATGGAAAGGCAAATTATATGATTTTTTTTTCTTCACTAAAATAACATACAAAACCCTAATTTCACATCTTCATCCATTTTAAAAAGGCACACTCTCTCAAAATACCAACAATTTTTTTTTTTCTTTCTTGGCTTATGATTGAATCATTCTTTCCACTTTTTTCTGGGATTTCAAACATTATTTTTCTTCCATTCTTTGGCAAATGCGAGAATTATTTTGAACAACATGCTTGGGGGCTGTTTACTTCGTGTGTAACAGCTGGAAGGTAGCCTAAAGACATCGACACAGATTCGTCTATACTTAAACTAAAGTTTTTGTCATTTAAGAGTCTTGGGAAGGATGTGCAAGAAGGTTCCATTGTTATGTTTTTGAAAAAAGCTCTTCATTCCTTCACATAATGAGTGAACAGACCCCATTTTTGTAGTCTTGAAATATGCGCAGCACTATGGAAAGCAAAAACGAATGCAGAACAATTCCTATAAAAATTTTAACCAACATAAAAATTTTAAATAATCCGTGCCATTAAAGATTTACATTGCCATCTCATGAATATTATTTTTTTTTTATATATTTTCGGTTGTTGCTTTATTTTCTCTGCCCTTTCAATCTTCTTGAATGACTGCCGAAATAGTCCCTAAATCCCAATGCCAATATATAAACATGCGAAGATGTAAACTGGAAAGAAGAAAAAAAAAATGAAAAAAAGGCCTTCGAAAAAAAAAGAATTTTTTTGAAATTCGCAGCCATAAATTCAATTTTAATAGAATTATCCTTTTCTCTTCCTCAACATCGGTATCGTGCAATTTTTCTTCTACTTCAACATTGATGATGGGTTCTAAAACAACAACAATGAACAAAAAAACAAAACCATATGAAAAATAAATATAAATGTGTATGGAAAAAAAATAGACGGTCGGAACAAGTGCAAATCTAACATTAACCGTAAAGAATGATCAGGCTGGAAGTTATACATGTCGGGCGAGTGTCATGGGAATTTTTATAGAAGCTTCTGCCTCAATCTATCTTAAAGGTCCACCATCAATCACCTCGTCGAAAAAGCAATTTGGCGTACCAGGCGAAACCGTACAAATTGAATGTGTTGCCTTTTCTACCCCAAAGGTAACACACATATTATGGTCATATAATGGCAAAGAAATCAATAGTAGTCAGAATGATGACTATACGATTATTGAGGACGCCACTACATATGGAATGAAATCGACTCTGGTGATACATAAGAGCGATGCAAGGCATTTTGGACGTTATAATTGCTCTGTGACAAACGATTATGGCCACGACTATGTGGATATTGTACTAGCTGGTTTACGTAAGTTTAATAAAATATTATTGTATTCTTTCCTGAATTAATTTCTTGAATTCACGCAACTAAGATTAAGAAAACGAGGTTTAATTTGTTTATTTAATGCAGTGGTGTTTAAGCTTTTTAGTTCAATTAGAGCTTTAGCGTAATACAATAAGCAGTGCTTCTCAAACAGTTTACTGCGGCACATTCAACCAATAATACGTGTGTACATAGGTTTAGGTTTCCTGACATATCTGAATGTTTTTGCGACATAGGAGGGTATCACGAAACATTACTTGGGAAGCACTGCATATTTTCATAAGTGAACTTTGAATTTGTGTCTTAATCAGATTTACAAATAATTTTAATACTAATGTGTCGCGGACCAAAGTTTGAGCATCACTGAATTATATTTTAAAATTGAAAATGATTTTTTTTTTCAATCTCCACATTTTTGGGGATATGATCTAAATGTTTGCAATAAATTACACCATTAGAGCAATCTATAGTGTATTCACACGTTGAAATATAAGAAAAAATTTCTAATATAACTTTCGTAATCTTTTCAGATGACTCCCAAGTCACTTATGTTTTCATTGTTCTGGCAATCATTCTGTTTATTGTTATGGTGGCAATGATTTCGGTGATTTGCATCAAGAGTGGCAAAAGGAAATTGCCCCCAGCTGATATGATATCAGAGGTATGTAAAACCTTATGATTATGTATATGTATATATGTGCAAGCATACGTAGATATATTGTGTTTTATCTACGTTCTAAATTACAAAGAGAAGCGTTTGCACGCTCACGAAATAGAATTAAATTGTGTGAAAATTTACGACAAATTAAAACTCAACTTTTTGTTGATTGCAAGAAATGACTTTAACCATTTAGATTTTCTAATCTCACGTGTATAAAATAAATTTTTCAATTTACAGCATCATATCACGGAGAAAAGCTTTAAAGATAGCGATAGATATTCAAATACAAGTGAACTCAAAGACCCCGATCGAGATTATTCTGAATATTCCGGTACAGAGAGCACTGCAACTCGTACAGCAATTAATATATTAGGCAATGGACATACTGGGAATGGTGGTATGCCACTTGCCGGACCAGTTAAATTGCCAAATGATCAGCAACGCTATTCAGGCGACTATAGTGATTTACATATGGCAACGAAAGTCGGTCTTACCAATAATGGATACATTCCTTATAATGATTATACTCGCGACTATAGTCCGCCAAATAGTATGCGTTCAAATATTCCTCCGAATTTAAAGAATCATTTAATTTCATCTTCCGGACACAGTCCATTAATTAATTCAACGCAAAATGTCACGGGGAATGGTGGTATTGATAGTTATACGTTAGGACGTAATCGTGAACTACGTCAGGATAATGGTCTACCCACTATACCATTGAATACAATGCCTAATGGATTAATAAGTAAGTATTATACTCTGAATCATATAACTAGCAATAAGCGAAAATGCTGTTGTTGTCATGACAATAATAATAAGTATCGTGATAAATTCCTAACCCAAACTACTTCCATTTTAGATCAATCTCTATTGAATAATGTAGATATACGCTATAGTGCTACATATGGTAATCCATATCTTAAAAATTCGAGCATATCACCACTTCCACCTCCAATTACACATCATAAGCCGTATACGGCAAATCCATCAGTCACACCAGCACCACCTCCATATAATCGAAGTAATAATAGTAACAGCAGTTTCTCATCATCGACTACAATATCAAATAGTGGTAGTTTATTGGGTGGCGCTAATAATCATAACAATAATAATAACATTAGTAACAGTAATCATAATAATAGTGTAGGACTAAGCTATCCAAATAGCAGTTGTGTATCGACTGGAACAACAGTTACGTCATCAACTGCGGCAAGTGCTCAGATAACAAGTCCTTCACGTCAATTCATTCTTCCAACAAATGGAGATTTAAAGAAAGGTTCGTTAGCCACTCACGTTTAACATTAAATACTTTTAGCATAATGAAAAATTTATCATAAGCATTCGAATTCTAATCTTCTCTTTTTTTTGGTCCGTTTTGTAAATATACATCTCATCTCAAGAGAATATAGAAAAAAAATTATGTTTTTCTCTTCCGATTAAGCCTGATTATGTTTGTTAAATGTAAAATTTATTCATTAGATAGATTAAAAAAAATTATAAGAAAAAAAAAACGAATTTTGAATAGTTTTTTGTTTTTTGTTAACTAAAGGATGAAATTTTAAAAATTTCAGCGCTTATAAGACTTCATAATAATGAACTAAGTTTTTATGTTTGATGAAGTCTACATGAGAAATAAATTATCTTGAATATAATCATGTCAATTGTTCAAAAAAAATATATATATATCAAATGTAAGAATGCAATTATAATTCTGCTTGAAAATAAATACAAACTTTTTTAGAAATTTATAATTTTGTGACAAAGACTACAGATATGAATTTTGTAACCCTCATTTCACGTCAGCTCTTTTTTTTGCGGATATCTAACACATGTAAAAAAAAGTTTTGACTCATAAAAAATTCATATTCATTCAGAAGCGAGAACCCATCATACAAGCTATATGTGTGAACCGCCACTAGAAAAATGTATGCCATAAAGTCAATTCAGTAGGATTACATGACCAAATTTTTCATCATGATTCTTTGAGTGAAGAAATAGTTGAATTTCAAATTTAAACCAGAAACTTTAGTTTTATTTTTTAATATCCAACGAAACTCAAATACGATTATGCCAAAAAAAAACTTTAATTTCGTCTTTAAGTTGATAAAAACTGTATTGATGCAGGTAAAATTTATTGTTATGTACAAAGTAATTTGCATTACGTTAAGCATTTTGAATCCACAGATAGCTTTAGGAGAAAGTTATTGCAACGACCTGATTCATATAGAAAAATTAATAATTCCTTTTATTATATTAATATTCCTGTGATTTAAATATTTTTAAGGCTTAATCCTGAACAAAAATATTATTTGGAAGCTTGCCACTTTTCAAATTTATTTTTAAATTATTTTACCAATTAAAAAAATCTTTATAAATCTTGTTAAGAATTTTTGTTGGAGGAAATTTTTTTTGTAGCTTTAAAATTTTTTAACTTGAATAGCTTTTTGGTTTGAATTATTTCTTCACTCAAGTCGTTCATAAATGATGTTGAAGGGCATGATTTCAGGAACCTAGCTTGGGCTTCTACTCTGAGCATCACGAGTTATTTTCGTTATTTTTTGATTTTGCCCGGACACCCTTGCTCTGCATGATTTTTTAAACGTCATTTATGAACAAACCCATAATAATCATCGGTTCATGCAAATAAAAATAATAATTTTAATCTTTTCATAATTAAATAATAAACAATATAAGAAGTGGTCAAATAGGGATGGAAAAATTCAAACATCAACTTCATATCAAGTAAGTGATTTGAGAAAAAAATATATATAAAATAAAATTCTTATCTACAATGCCAATTTACTCATCAAGATAAAGAAGAAGAAAAAAATTTAAAAATGAATTTTGTGGCCTTAAAACAAACATTCATATTTATATTTACATTATTTTTCTTTCTTTCTTGCATTTATACAGCATTTTAATTTCCTTTGCAGTGTATTTCATTTCATATAATACAATAAGTGCTATCCATACAATGTACATAGTTAATTACACCATGAAATGAAAAGTTTTCAAGTACACTTGAGAATATTTTCATATTTACATGTATGTTTGTTATAAAATGATAAAAAAAATTAATTAAAAGAAGCTTCCAAGCAGTGAGAATCTCAAAGGATGTATGTCAATTTAATTTACAAATAAAAAAAAAATATGAGTTGCAATTATAAAACAAATTCTAGTGTTACAAAAATTTAATGAGATACGAAATTTTCTTTTTTCGGCTTTATTTTTCTTACCATATATTAAATATTTTTCTTTCATGGCGTATTTTTTTTATGCAAACTCAAACATGCCTTCATGAATTTTTACTTATTTTCTCATTTTTTTTTTCTCTCTGATCGGGGAGGATGTTTGAATTTCAAATGTGTATTCGAAGGAAGAAAGCTCGGCATGTGATACAATCTATTTTTAAAGATGTGTAATACGAGAAATTTAATTGCGAGATTGAGATTGCAACGGTAACATAGTCAATTCGAATTTTAAAGCACGTCACTTTGGTAAGAAAAAAAGGTTGGAAAGTCTATCGTACCTGTTTTTACCCATCAACCTTCACAGCTTTACATTTTCGTCTACTTAAGGATGACATTTTCTTGGATGAAAGGGCACCGTCCCTAAAAAGAAAAAGGCAAAAAAAAATAAGAATATAATTTCAACAATGAAAATACCCGAAAAATAAAGATGTCTTCTCTGATTTCAGTTTCATTGCTTTCGCTTCATGTCTCTTAAGTCTCCTTTATAGCCAATCTCAAATTGGTCTAATCGTAGTTAAATTTTTTTTGTGCTTTTACATCCAGACCATTTGACATTTTGAGATCTTCTTTCAGATAAATGATGTTTGAAATTAATTAAGCAGACAATTTTGTTTTTTTAAATGCTCAACCCTTGAATGAGAAATTATTCATGATAAAAAAAAACATCTCTATGGAGATCATAAATCTCAATTTAAAAATTGCGTAATATTGCATGCATCAAAAAATATTCATTTAAGCATGTGAACAAAAAAATTACATTTTTTTCCACTCGCGTATAATTAATTTTAATTTTAATCTACCCCCTCTTGTAAAATGAGAATAAAAAATCCTGACAAATAATACTCAACTCAGTCGAAAAAAAAATCCACTCTGCAAATTGGACTCTCAATAATAATGAGCGTGACATGTAAAAGGGATGAAAAAAACAGCATTTTTCTCGCAGAACTGGATTTATGGTTGATGAATCTGGTATTCTCAATTGAAGATTAAATCTCCTTCATATAACGATTTTTTTTGGCTTGGTATGCTCATCCATCAGATGTCACCAGAATAAAAAATCATTTTTTTAGTTGTTGTTGCTATTATTGTTGTCATTAAACCTCGCCAAAAACCGACCTTTAGCTCACATTAAACCCTTTGTCATGTCATTTGAAATTAATTCCATGTCAGTCGGACTAATGGCATGATTATAATGTCAAAAATCTACCTTTATGTAAATTTATCATCATTAAGAATGATTATAATTGAAAATTTAATAAATAATCATAAAAAAAAAGAATTGACATTCGTACACAGATGAATGAAAGCATTCAATAACACTTTAAAACTATAAAAGTATTTTTGCATTAATAATTTTTTATAATATTAATGCAAAAGGAAGTTGTTGACTGATCAAACCTAAAAACAAAAATCACGATGTTTTAGATATAAAATATTGTAGTTAAGCCAATTTCCTTTTCTCAAGAATTAATGAGAAACGATGTTGATTTTACATTTTATAAAAAAAAAGAAATTAAAAATTATAATATTTTTAGCTAGCGAAATATTGCATATTTGGGCGTAGATAATGATTGATATTATCTTAATATTGATTATGTACATATCGAATTATAAGAAAAATATATCAAATTTTAAATCAATTATTTCTATTTTAAAAGATTTATAAGAAGTTTACAGTCGAATTAAATGACAACAAATTGAGACTTTCTTATCGTTGGATGAACTTTTCAGCTGAGACAAAAAATGTGTGCAATTTAAAATTGACTTTCATTTTGAAAATTTGAAGAAAAAAAAATAATTTAAATTCCATGCAAAAAAAAGAGTTCATTCAAATTCAAGAAAGTTTACTATCTTTCATGGAATTTGATTTTTTTCTCAAAAGAAAAGATTTACTTGCAAAATAAAATTAAAAAAAAAACCAAAAAAGAGACGCTCTAAAATAAAATTACTTTTTTTATGAGAATTTTAAAACGAATTCTTAAAATAAACAAATAAAAAAGGGAAAAATGTTGACTAGGAAATTCTTTAATTTACATAAAGACATTCTCTCTTTTTTTATAAGAAAGATAAAATAAAAATTTCCTTGTGTTTTTGAAAAATTTCAACAAAAATTCGATGCAGAAAAAAAATCTTTGCTAGCCCTTAATATGAAAAAGAAAACAAAGTTGCTGTAAGTAAGAAGAAAAAAAATTCCTTTCCCGTTCCCTAAATATACTCACTTGTCGTCTCATATCACACGCCATGAGAATGGGAATATTTTTCTTTTTCTTGTAAATACTCTCTTTTTGATAAAAAAGGCAGTTTTTAAAGAACAAAAACAAAAAAAAATTATTTAAAGATTAGACAAAAAAAAATCTGTTTGTCGAGAATTAAAGACATCTCGCACCGATTTTATAGAGATTATAATCAATTGGAAAATGTATCTATGCTTTCCATCATTTCTCAATCTCATTGTTTAACAAAAACGATAATGAAAAAGTAAACAAGAAAGTAGATTTTTGGAAAAGTAAAATGAAGAATAGAATAATGAAAATTTAAATTGATAATGAAAAAGTTTTATTGATAATAAAACAAAAAATGAAATTATTTTTTAAAAAATAAAAAATCTGTTTTTTAATTTTTAAAATTGAAGATTAAATTAAATTTTTCAGATTGCAACTTTTAGGAAAGTTTGACTAGAACTCAATGAACTGAACGGCGCATGCAGAATTCAGACTTTGGAAGAGAGTAGGAGTGTTACTGAATTGTAAACATAAAATATTCAAAAAATTAATAATAATTATACTTGATCTGAAATAACTTGATAGGATTCATGAGGATCAGTTTTTGAAGCCTCAACATATTCCATTGTATAATAATATTTTGAATGCATAATATGGACAAGTTATGTTTATATTTATTGAAGGCAGCTTTATCATGCCTTATGTGTCTCAACTTTTCACATCACATGTGCCTTTGACCTAAATTTTCACATCATAACCTCGCGTACGCATCAGAATATATTATCATAGAATTTTTGTCCTTTTTTTACAATCTCTAGTATGCAATAATACAGCATAGAGATAGTTAGATACATGAATATATGAATGAGAAAAGGCATTTAGCAAAAGGACATCCTTGTTGCTTCAATTTGACTCTTTCAATCCTCCCAATGTAATATGCAAATATGTACAGATACATACAAGTATTGTGTCTGTCCATCTATATGTCACGTAAATGACAATGGATTTTTAAATCATTCATATGAATGATACCAAATATTCCTGAATATTTGAGATATGGGCTCGAAAAGAAATTGGTATATTCATTCTACAAAATGTCTATAGATATATTGAAATGTGACATGAACTTGAATATATGTCTTGTCTCAAGCATGAAGGAACGAAAAGAAAAGAAAAGAAAGCAAAATTATTTTATTTTAACCACATTCTCACTATTTATGACATTTTTAGGTTCCTCCTTATGAAATTTATAGAAAGGAAAACTCAATGACAATAAAAATTGTTTTACGATCCTCATACACCAGTTTCTGTTCCTTTTTAACACATTTGCTACCATTTGCTGTTGGGCAAAGAAATAAATTTTAAGTATTTGTTTTGTTACGGCACAATTCCTTTATAAATGTCTCAGAGTCTGACTTTTAAGAAGTGGATTTATATAAATTTATTCAAAATAGAATGTAACCAAAAATTTTTATCGCTACATGATTCAAAAAATTTGTAGCATTCCTTATTCGAGTTAAGATTTAGATATTTAGGTACAATCCTCAAGCTTCTTATAATTTAAGACAATATGATTGATTATTTAAATGCGTCATTTTGTGTATATTTTATAGAAAGTTTTTCACTTCTTATCATCCTTTCAATTTTTGCAAAACACACATTTTAGGGGTAAAATTTTATCTATCACAACCATCCTTCGCACTTTATCTGTATTTATGTATAAATATTTTAAAAGCCTTATCGATACACATAGATAAATTTTTTATAGTTTTCCAATTTTCAAATACTTTTGATGAATGAGTTCTCGTTCTGTCTATGTTAACTTCCAGAATGTATATTCAATACATAAGCCCTGTTTATGGAAGGGCACAATACAACAGTATATTCTTCTTTTTTTTTTTTTGGTGTGTTTTATCGATAATTTATGGGAGATTCGTTGCACCGGAATAGTGTAAAGGGAATCATTTTATGTTTGTATATATATAGCTAATAGTTGGCTACTCAGGGATGGTAGATTTCATTGATTATTGGAGAATGACTCAGAAAATAGATTTTTTTTATATAAACATTTCTCTTATTTTTTCAATTTTGTGATCAAAACCCCAAAATAAATGATACTCATCATTTAAGCATGAGTAGAAAAGAACCCAATGTGATTGAGTTTTTTCAATAGAATTCTGTGATTTGAAAACAAATTTCCAATAATCTAGATGGTTTTTTTGTCAAAATATTTATGTGTCTGATTTTTCATGGCTAAAAAGGGTAGGTTTGTAGCTTAAAATTGTTGTAGATGATTTTTTTTTGTTTTACATAATTGACTAAATTCATCCCGATAAGATTATTCTGACCCTAAAATTTTCATCGTATGCTATCAATTTAATTTTTCATGCCAAATCAATTTTTAATAATCATCACCTCTGCATATCCAAATTTTTCGCTCTCGTCCTTCTGTTTTTTTTTTTTTGCTGTTCATTCCATTCATTTTTTATCCTTGTTTACTATTTGCTCTCACTCACTCTTTCATTACATAGCAATGAGGAATTGATAAAATACATTTTCACTGCACAAATACCAAACAGCTATAGCTTCTATGAATATGAATTTATGTATGAACAATATCAAGTAGGAAATATTGACAAGTAATGTCTTTGCAAACCTATGAACTAGCTTACTTAATCATTAAAAAAATAACATTTTAATGTTCAGGAACTGGTTGCTAGGGAAACCATTGGGAATCATTTGATAGAATCAAAAACTGATTAAAATCACTTTAGGATATTAAAATAATTGGACTATTACTAACTTAGAAGGTTACAAAAGTCTCTATATTAATTGAACAGTGCCTCCAGCTCAATAGGCTGGGCGTTACCAACAATTTATCTTTTATTCAGGGTATAGTGCCATACGAAACGCATTATATCCATTTCAAATCTAATGATACTTTAACTGGGCTTATCGAGTGAGAGTTGGAAACAAAGCTATAGCCAACAAAGAAAGGTACAATCTTGATTTTCAGCCCTACTTCCTTGATTAACTTGATTATTCATCAATTAGATTTAATCTTGACAACCTAATCAACCCTAAAACCCCGCTCATTAATCCCGTAATGCTTAATAATTTGGACAAAATGAATATAAATGTGAACATTCTCCAAAATATTAGTGCAAACATGAAACGAGTAAAAATGGTGAAGGAAAATTTTCCTGGCAACGGTAAATTGAATGAAAAAAAATTCCTGTGCATACCCGCAACAAATAATATTGAAGCTATAGACTTTTTTTTTGTTTAAGCTAGAGTTATGTGTAAAAGAATTCCATTCAGTTGTGTTTCTGTGTCTAAACTCGTCTGATCGAAAAATAACGAAAAAAAAATATTTTAAGAGGATACGATTAGTGCTTTTTTTGTGTGTGCTGATTGCCATAAATTATCCTTTTCAAGTGAAGATTTTTCATTTTAATATTGGTGATTCCTGTTGTCAAAAATGCAAGATTAAATTTATGTTCCTCTAACATAAAAGAAAAGGATGTTAAGCTGGAGTTACGACGATCAAAAGAATCAAATGGCGAATCCGTTTCCATTTATGCCTGGACGAAAATCTAGCATTCCCTTGGTATGAAATGAGACTTGTGGAAATAAAATTTCCATATGAATTAAAAATAATATAGAATCTAGTAGGAACATGAAAATTATTTTATTTTTTTCATCGAGTACCATACGAGAACAGGAAGAGTAATAAAAATAATAATAACGATGGCAAAGGAGAGACTCAAGTCGTTCGTAATCTTTTCATGTTCTTCATATCCTTTTTCGCTTCTTTTTTTTCTCATTTCGCAAGAATAAAGAAACTGAATAAAAAGAGAAAGGAAAGCCATTGCAATTGAAAAATAAATATGGCAAATGAAAAATTCATTTTTTTCCCGTCTTTCTCTTAAAAAAAAAAATCCTCGGTGGTATTTCTTCTATTTTCCATAAGCAACGATTTCTATAGAAATACTTATAGAAAAATAAAAATATATCTATGATAGACAGGGCGAAAAAGGGAAATGAGGTCGCGGCAAAATGAAAGACTTATATAAGTCTCATGCAATTGAACAATGACGTCACACAAATGATTTGCATAATCCTCGTTTTTATTATTCATATAAATTTTCCGCGATTTTCTTCAGCATTAAATGGAAAAGCAAGTAAATGTAAAGTGAAATGTGGGGAAAGGAAAGCAAAGCTGTCGTGACTTTATCCTTACAACTTGAACTATGAAAAAAAAAGTTGACGGCAACGAGAGATTTCATGTTTATCCTTATTTTTGCGATGTACTCATCAATAATAAAAAATAAAATACAGGAATATTGATGAGCTACATTAAAGAAATGATTTCTTAAGGGGAATATTCGAATGGGAATTGAAGGAATGCTTCATCATTTTTCTTTTATTTTTTGTTTTGTTTTATTCAAAATTGATTTTTTTTTCTCTTTTTATGTTTCTATCTATTTTTTTTATAGTTTTTGAACCTTCACCAATATTTTCAATAGGTCACATAAACTGAACGAAAGAAAAATATATTTTTTTCATATCTGCAAGCTACACAGAAAAAAAAATCTATATTTCATCCTCGTTACTCGTTTTCGTATACAGCTTTATGTACATTGTTTGTAGCATCGGAAAAATCAACAAGCAAATTTGGTTCAAGATTAAAAAAAAGTGAGAGAGAAGTTTTTTTTTTCTATTTTCGGAGAACTATATACGGAAAAGCATGAAGTGGAACATGCCATTTGTGGAAAGTCGAACGTTCGATACTCGATTAACGAAAAGTGCTTTGCTGCCAAGCTATGGAACAAATGCAACAAATAAATTTCAGCGTCCTGATTATCGACAATTCAAGTCCAATTATCCCAAAGAAAGTTTTTATTGCCTTTTCTTACATTTTATTTTGATTTTCATAATCTTTAGAGATTTCAGGATAAAGTTTAATTATATTTTTTCTAAAAGAAAGCCTTTTTGAATTAAAATTCCAGCAATTTTGATTCAAATTAACTTTATTTAAAAGAAATATTGAACAAATCTTGACAATTTCAATCGCTCATTCTAAATGCTTGCCAAATTCATAAGAAACATTTTAATTTTCATTCAAAAAACACATCAACAGAAACAACAAATCGCTTAGTAATACGCCATGAAAATAGCACCAACATCCTTTTCATTATTGGATTAAATTTTCACATTATTGACTCAATTTTCAACAGCTTTTATTTTTCATCTCCAAAAAAAATTTTTTTCTTTTCGTTATCATAATAAGAGCTTCTTATGAAAATTTTTCTTTCATCATGTGCCAACAAAATGTAAGACTAAGACTTTAAAACCCCATAAAAAACGCATTAAACAGCATTAAACATATTTATATAAAAGGATTTAAAAGTTCACAAAATTCTCTACACATACGTTCAACATAAACATAAGCAGTAATAACAAAAAATCTCTCATTTCTTTTTTTCAATATTCCATTTCAATACTTTCGCAGACATTTGCAGAAAAAAAAATGTGACATGAACGTTCAATTGATAATGTCAGTCATATCATGCTTGAGGTCATAATAAATTTTTCTTTCGCTCTCATCGAACAAACTTCATTTTTCAAGGGGGGAAAACAACATGGTGGGAAAATATTGATCTTCCAGGAACAAATATTAATAAAAAACAAATCATCAATAGTTTCCCATCATGTTGTTTCCCCCCTTATTTTTTTATATCATTTCAAAACTTAATTCCTGTGTACTATGTGACATTAATATGAATGACATATATATTTTACAGCCATGGAGTACAAATGTTCCATATAATCCTTCTTCTGAGGATTGTGGTCCAAAGAAAATTGGCAGTTATTATGAAGTAATTTAAAATTTAAAAAAAAATAATGAATTTATTAAAAAATTACAGAAGTCCTCGTGTTATTGATCGAGGGACTTAAGCGCATTTTCTGGTTAACGATCAGTATTTGATTATCTATTTATTTTGCGTTCATTTACAAATCATTGGAATTGATTGGAATATTAGAAGATCATTGATTTTAGTGCAATTAGCAAATTACAATGAATGCTTATATAGAAAAGCTTTATTATGTAACGGTCAATAATATAATTTCAAAAACAATAACTATAGTATAATTAATAATTTGTTTCAATGAATTTCCATATATAAAAAGTTTATCATTAAAAGTTTTTTGAGATTCAAATTTTCTAACGGTCAGTAAGTTTTTGAAAGCTTCCAGCCAAAAGATACACAAATAATCATTAATCATAGTACATTTAACAATTTAATATCTTTAATTCTCATATATAAATTGTTTATCATTAAACGGTTTTCTAAAATTCAAATTTTGTAACGGTAGAAATAAATTCGAATTTCTAAACGCTCTCATCACGTGTTTTTCATATGAAATATAAAAATCATTAATTATAGTACAAAAACACTGTTTCAAGACTTTTAAATGCGTTTCCCGAAAATAAAACAATGAACCTGAGCTAATAAAACAAACTAGAACTCTCTACGGTGTCTAGTTAAAAAGTTTTTCTCCACCCGAACGAACGAACAAAGCGACATATTAAGCTACCTTTTCGAAACAAGTTTCAAAAATGCGCTAAAAAGAATTATGAAAATTATAAAGCCTCTAACAATTTAATGCTGTGCTTCTCACTCTCTCAGAGCGATTTTCATAATTTTATTAAAATAAGCCTTTAAAGAGATAAAAAAAAGCAAAACAACAAAAAATGGTTAGCAAAGAAAACTTTTTTCAGGCACCAAAGCAAAAATCTGAATGGCGTAATGCGGTGGGCTATGAAAATGTAGACATCACCCCATTGCCCGCACATCCAACAACTAATCAACTTGTTCAACCTTGTTTTGTGCCTTCCGGCATGTCAACGGAACCACTGAATTTTCCAAATCTTGTCACTGGATTCGAGGTTTGTTGTTTTTTCTCCTCTCCTTTTCATCTTCTTTTTCATATTATGAAATATTTATGAACATTCCATGGATGAACAACAACAAAAAAAACTTTTTTTATCCTTCTTCTGTTTAAATAATGTTTTGACAGAGAAATCCACAGCATGCGGCAAGAGCTGCACTTTATACGAGATTCACCCCGATGGAGTGGAGTCAACATTGTATTGCAACCTACAATGATTCTGACACGAATAGAAATCATGCGGAAAGAATGCGCTCGGAAGCTGTGCGATTAATGCGAGAAACACATGAAAAAACTTCACAGGTTCTTTAATTAAGACTGAAGTTTGTGCTTTTAGCTATAAGTATAATAACAAATTGCAGGGTCAACGTGATGCTGGAAGACGATTAGGTGAACGATTGACTGATATTACATTTTGGAGGAATGAATTAAATACCGAATTGGAAGCTTTAGTTGCGGAAGCTGCTCAACTCACCGATACAAAAAGAAATGTTCAAAAAGCTATTCAAGATCTTGAAGCGCCATTGCATATAACTCAAGAATGTCTTTATCATCGTGAAAATCGCAAAGGAATTGATCTCGTCCATGACCATGTCGAAAAAAGTCTTTTAGTCGAGGTTGATAATTTGCGTTCATGCCAAGAAAAGCTCAACAGTTGCCTTAGTAAGATTAACCAGCAATTATCTGATTTGCGTTCTTCCCAATTTCAATTAGAAGATGATTTGACACATAAGGAATCTGCAATCGGCATCGATTCCGTTTGCCATCAATTGAATAATTTTTCACGTGGTATAAATTATTTTGGTGGTATCGAGAAAGTAGATCCAACAATTAGTACGATTGGTACATGGGCTGCATCATCGAGCTTAAATATAAATCGGTAAAGAAGTTTTTGAGGATATTAACGTTGTTTGAAGTTGGGGGGAGAACAATATGAATGGAAAAAAGCTTATCAGGAATGAGATTTTGACCCACACAGCTACTTCCATCCCTATAGTAATAAGAAATTGATGAAAATTTCAAATCAAAACTTTTCTCTTCATGTTGTTGTCCCCCTCGAGCAATTTTTGTAAATTTTATTTTTTCTTATTAAAGCTCTCAGTCTGAACGTGGCAAATCAGCCCAATTAAGATCTGACGCGGAGGCTTTAATTAATGCATGTGCAACATCAGTTTGGGATTGTTGGAGCAATACAAATAACTCATTAAATCGTCGTGCATCGGAGGTGATGGAAGCAAAGAGCAAAGTTCAACTACACCTTCATAAAGTGCAACAGGAGATATTTGATGTTGAAAAACACATTGAGATGATACGAAAGGCCATAAATGATAAATCAAATCCATTAAAGGTGGCACAAACACGCTTAGAAGCTCGTGCTCACCGCCCTGATTTAGAGTTGTGTCGTGATAATGCTCACGTGCGTTTAGTTGAGGAAGTTTGTGATATTCAGGAATCTGTGGGTGCTTTACAGCGAAAATTACAAGATGCTGAAGCACATCATCAAAGCTTACTTAAAACAAAATCTGGATTGGAAGGCAACCTTAAGTATAAAGTTGATGCACTGTTCATTGATCGCGAGAAATGTATGGGAATCAGACGTTCCTTTCCAGTTAATAATACTATTAAATACTAATGCAAAATGAAGATTAAGCACCATTCGAAAGCACCAGAATTTTATCGTTACTAGTTTTTAATTCATAAGTAATAAAATACATATAGTTATGCATTTAAAGCACACTGCTAGTCAAATTTGTGTCAAATTCGTCAAAATATTAAATAAATTGCAAACTTTATTTGAAGAGAGGATTTAACACTAAAATCTGTCTTTTATATTCACAATCAGTTGTAATTGAACTAAATGCTGCAGACCAAAATTCTTACTGCAAACAGTCAAATAATATTTGAATCTTGTAATGATTTTTTTTCTAGATTTTTTTCCAACGGTTTTGTAAAATTTAAACGAGTTTTGTAGATTAAAGGCCGGTGAATCAAGAGAAAAATTGTTTAAAAATGAAAATCTTCGTCTGTATCCTGTTAATTATATATTCAGTGAGTCAAAGTCATGCTGAGTTGAAAAAGGAAACGCTAGTTCTATTAGATAATCTAGCTACGCGTGAAACTCACTCGATTTTCTTCAAAAGTTTGCAAGGTATGTAATTCTTTGGGCCACATCATCGTTTGCCTTATTAAAATTTTGTTAAATCCTAAGATCGTGACTTTAAGCTAACATTCAAGCTTGCTGATGATCCAAATCTTCAATTGGCAAAGTATGGAGAGTATTTGTATCAGAATGTAATTATCTTCTCACCGTTAACCGAGAGTTTTGGAGGCTCCATTTCAGTCGAAGAGATTACACAATATATTGATAATGGAGGCAATGTTTTAGTAACTGGATCAGCTACATCAGGCGAAGCAATTAGAGAACTAGCTACAGAAGTTGGATTTGAATTGGATGAAGAGAATGCATCAGTTATTGATCATATGAATTATGATCAGATTCTTGATAGTGGAGACCATACAACAATTGTGGCATCGCCCAAAAATCTTATTGACTCAGAAATGATTGTTGGAAACAAAAATGTTAAGCCATTATTATATCGTGGAACTGGAATTATTGCTGATCGTGAAAATCCTTTAGTTCTTCCACTTTTGACAGCAGATTCCACAGCTTACAGCTATATTCCAGACTCTCCAATTAAGGAATATCCACATGCTGTTGGACGTAACACAATTCTAATTGCAGCACTTCAAGCACGTAATAATGCTCGTATCGTCTTCTCTGGATCACTTTTCTTCTTTTCGGATGAAGCAATTATGTCACAAGTTAAGAAAATCGGTGAACGTGAAACTCATGAAAAGTCTGGAAATCTTGACGTTATTGATGCTATAAGCAAATGGTGTTTCAAAGAAGTTGGACAAATTCGCGTTAAATCAGTTAAGCATCACAAAGAAGGAGAAAAAGAAGCACCAGCAAGCTATACAATTACCGAGCCTGTTGTCTACACAATTGAAGTCGAACAAATGATTAATGGTGCCTGGAAAGCATTTGTTGCTAATGACGTACAGCTTGAATTTGTACGTATTGATCCATTTGTTCGTGTTACACTTAAGTCAATCGGTGGTGGAAAATATCAAGCTAAATTTAAAATTCCTGATGTTTACGGAGTTTATCAATTCAAAGTTGATTATGATCGTGTTGGATATACTCGATTATATAGCACAACTCAAGTTTCTGTAAGACCATTACAGCACACTCAATATGAACGATTCATTCCTAGTGCTTATCCTTATTATGCAAGCGCCTTCTCTATGATGTTTGGTGTCTTTGTATTTTCATTCGTATTCCTCTACTTTAAGGATAAGCCTGATAAGGTTGAAGTTGAAAAGAAAACTAATTAAGCAATAGCATTAAAGTTAATAAAATAAAAACATCATTTTATTGGCACCTCTAACCATTAAATAACATCTTTGTACCATTTGAAGTGAATAAATGCATCAAATTTTATGTCTTACATCTAATAAATGCACATTCTTGTGTTAAATTCTTTCCATATTGAAATTTATTCTTCTGAAGCTTCGATTTCAACAATAGTGACACCTTTTTTAATGTTATCACCAACATGTCCTGCAATCGATTTGACTTTTCCACATACAGCTGCTTTAAGCACGTATTCCATTTTCATTGCTACAATGAGAATAAAGTATAATAATAAGTATCACGTCAACTAATTTGACTACAAACCTATAATAACGGCGACACTCTGTCCTGGCTGAACTTCATCTCCAACATTAACGAAAATTTTGTCAATTATTCCTGGCATTGGAGCTACTAAACTTGCCTTATTTACATCTCCTTCGCCTGAAGATGCCAAAAATTTAGGCTGCTTAATTTGAAGTTCAGTTTTTCCTTCCTACAATAAATTTTAGGTAATTTTTGGACGTCTCATACTTGTAACATTTGCTTACCTCATTGAAAAGTGTGACACTTTCTGGTGTAATTACGATAGAATATTTATAAACAGCTCCGTCCATGTTCACTTTTAAAGAGAATCGTCCAGACTCCTTGACCTTTGAAACTTGAACATTCTTCCATTCACCGTCGTTAACCTTCACCTTAAATCCATCTTGACTCTGCATTAAAGAAACTTGTTGATCCTTTCCATCAACTACAAAGTTAACTGTTCTAATGTGATTTGAATTGATTCTAAAGTCGCTGTTTAAAACAAATGGATCATTTGATGTTCCAGCTCTTAATGCATTTATAAGCGCAGCATTATTTTCATTGATGATTAATCCAAGAGCAGCTTGAGCAAGGACTTCATTTTTTACAACCTTACTTGGAAATAGTGTGTCATAATGCTGGTTGATGAATCCTGTGTGAACATCACCTTTTTGGAAGTATTCATGCTTTGCTAAATCAATCAGGAAATTGACATTCGTTTCCAAACCAGTTATCTTTAAGAAAAAAGGTTTTTAAAGTTAATAAAAAGTCAACAAATTAATAGTGATGGCTCACATGATATTCTGACAGTCTTGAAATCAAACTATTCAATGCTTGACTTCTGTCTTGCCCCCAAACGACTAATTTTGCTATCATTGGATCATAATGGACAGTCACATCATCTCCTTCCCTTACACCGGTTTCAACACGAACCAATTGACTAGGATCTGGTGTAGATAGATGTTTTAATGGACCTGCACCTGGTAAAAATCCATTACCTGGATCTTCAGCATAAATTCGAGCTTCGAAAGCGTGACCATTTCGACTGATTTCATCTTGTGTCAGTGGTAATGGCTCACCGCTAGCAATTCTTATTTGCCAATCAACTAAATCTATTCCTGTAATCATTTCTGTTATTGGATGCTCAACTTGTAAGCGTGTATTCATTTCCATAAAATGGAATGATAAATCTTCTTTATCCAGAATGAACTCTACAGTTCCAGCACCAACATATTTGACAGCTTTTGCAGCTCTAACAGCAGCTTCACCTAATTGTCTTCTTAATTCTTCTGAAATTCCCGGTGCTGGAGCTTCTTCTATAATTTTTTGATGCCTTCTCTGCACTGAACAATCTCGTTCCCATAAATAGACAGCATCTCCATATCTATCTGCAAAAACTTGAACTTCAACATGCCTTGGTGATCGAACATATTTTTCTAAAAGCATTGTGCTGTCACCAAATGCCTTTTCAGACTCAGTTCGTGCACTATGAAGTTGTGGAAGAAATTCTTCGGCATTAAGTGCAATTCTCATTCCTTTACCTCCTCCACCTCTTACAGCTTTTATCATCAAAGGATATCCAATTTTCTCTGCTTCTTGAACTAAAAAGTCATCATTCTGATTTTCTCCATGATATCCACTAATGCATGGAACACCAGCTTCAGTCATTATATATTTGGAGGTACTTTTAATGCCCATATCTCTAATAGCACTTTCTGGTGGTCCAATAAAGATTACATTGGATTTATCGCATAATTTAGAAAATTCTTGACTTTCAGATAAGAAACCATATCCAGGATGAATAGCTTGTGAACCTGTCATTATAGCAACATCTATAATTTTATCACCACGTAAATAAGACTTAGAGGATAAACTTGGTCCAATATGATATGCTTCATCTGCCATTGCAACATGTAAGGACTTTGCATCAGCATCCGAAAAAACAGCAACAGTTCGAATACCTAGCTTTTTACATGTTTTGATTACTCGAACAGCAATTTCTCCTCTGTTGGCAATCAAAACCTTATTAATAGGCTTAATCTCTGGTTTCGTTTGAATTGAAAAAGTTCGTTTAAATGCATGATGAGGGAACTTGACAAGACACCTGAAACAAGTTTGAATTTCATTTTATCAAATTGAATTATTTTGGATTAAAAACGGTAGATTAAATTACTTTGCTCTTGATAACATTTTCAGATTCCACTATGTCACCTGTTGAAAGAATTTGTTTTCATTATTATTATGTTCATATATTGATTTAATATCTCTATGTTTATGCACATCCAAAAAATCACCTATGGTAATAATTACCTTTAAATAAAATTATTCTATAAGGTTTGTCCTAAGATACTTAAAAATTAAAATTTTAAATGAAAAGACTGAATATGTAATCAAAAGAAAAGAATTGACAGTTGTTATCAAGCAAGTGTCAAAAGCATTCGAAACTCATGGAACCGTTTAAGTTTGTTAAAGATATTTATTTATTTTCATAATTCTTAAAACATAGCATCTCCAGCACGGCCAAAAAATGGAATTAAAACTGGTGTAGACGATTTATAAGTTTTGTACTCGTCATTGTTTCCAAACTTCACATCAGCTGATTGTTCTAAGAGAGGAATTCCACTTACAAATATCAGCAATAAGGCAACAAATACTGGAGTTAAAAAGACACCTAATGAATGTGATCCACTGAATCCAATAAGAGAAAATGCAAACCAAAGTAAAATTTCACCAAAATAATTTGGATGTCTTGAATACTTCCATAGACCAGTCTTCATAAATTTATCCTTATTCTTAGATTCTGAACGGAATTTTAGTTTTTGGTAATCAGCAATTGTTTCACATGTGAATCCACAAATGAATAAGATGCTTCCAATGTAATCAAGAACTTTGAACTGAACATTTCTTTCTTTTTGAGTAATGATGAGCAATGGAAGTATCGACATGAATACCCAAACTCCTTGAAGTGTCCATGTCATAAGGAATCGATAATTGTTCTTCTTGATATCTGTAAATCTGGAGTCAATTCCTTTGTTATTCTTGATTCTTGTAAACAAAAATGCTCCCAATCGAATAGTCCAGAATATTACAAGTAAATTAAGCAATTCAATTCTCTTGCTGTAATCTTTGCTAAAGATCGAATTGATGATCGTTGTTGAAATGAATGTGACACTTCCCATTAAATCATAAAACTTTTCTGTTCTCTCATTTCCGAAAAATCCACCAGCATGTATAAAGAAGATCCACTGCAGTCCAATAGTAAACAATGCAATGTAATTTAATGTGTAATTGTTTTCATCACTAACTGCAAATGCTATTGATTGTGTTAATAATATGCAAACAGCAACAGCAACAACTGGTATATAAATACTTTTATTCATTTTTAAAATGAATAAATAATAAACTTAATGTTTTAACAATTAATAAACTGAATGATGTTGACTGCATCAATGTTCAAAGTTCACTAATGATAAGTCTCAATATTGAAACTATTTTAAACTGTTCAATATCGTTACAATTAATAATAAGAGATTAAAGTTTTAAGAATTTTTAAAGATAAAAATCAAGGATGAAGAACTAGTTTAAATGTTATTCTCAGATTTTAAGATCATTTTAACCGAGATTTAATTTTTTCAAATTCTTGCATTTGTTTTACAAAATAAAAGTCAAAAATGAAATTTTTGAAAAGGTTCTCTTCAAAGCAATTCTTGATAAAATAAATTAAGGAAGTGATAAGAATCATGAATTCCTTCATCTTTATATTCAAAAATTTGAGTTTAGTCTTTATAAATTTTCAAATGTTTTTCTGAAGTAAATGAAAATTGAAAATTGAAACCAAAATTTCTCAATTAGATTTTAAAATCTCTAGAACTTCATCAAATTTATTAAACAAATTATAAGTTTTATTATTTTTGTGAATTCAAAGACACTGCAAAATTAATTTTTCTCTAAACAATTGAAAAGAAAAAACACTTGTTGCATTGTTGAAATATGCACAAAAGAGAATTGTTTATTTGAAATTATATCTACATACCTATTCTATGTTTGAAAATAATCTGAAAAAAATGAGAGTAAAATTTTCTGTGAGATAATAAAAATATTATTTTCTATTTTTAACATAAAAAATGAAAGAAAATTTTCTCAAGGAAATTTTCAGTTTCTTCGAAAATTCTTTCTGTTAAGATCGCGAATTTAAACTTTCAAAAATTTAATAATCAAAAGATTATTAATTAACTTTAGTTTCAAAAATCTTAATTCTTCCGAAAAATAGTGTCAATGTGATATCAAGCAATGAGCAAAGCTTTTAGTTTCAAACTACTTTTCATCGCAATTTGTCTCCTTGCGATCGCAGTTAAAAATTGTGAAAATTTTCAATTACGTGACGTGAGCTCTCCTAGCGAAACGAACAATGTTGCTACTTCAAAAACCAAAATTCGATTTCCATTTAGAAAATTGGAAAAAATAAATGACCAAGAAGAAGAGGACGATGAAACTATAGACGACGATGACGATGAAAACGACAGTAATAATGACGATGACAGCTCAGATGAAAAAATTGAGAGTGACATTTATAAAAATTATAAATTTACTAAAGTAAGAAAACCAACAATTGAAATTAAGACGAAACGTGAAGATTTCAGATTTTCTAAGTTAGCTCAATTCCGTGAAGAATCTTCCGAAGATGAGAGCGATAATGATGAAGAAGAGAACGCTTCTTTTTTCTCAAAAATCTTTGATTTTTTTAAGAGCAAACCTAAAGAGATTGATGAAATAGAAGAAAATGACAACGATGAGAACGATGCATCTGATTCAAATGATCAAATGGAAGATGACGAAGAAAACGAAAGCAAACCAATGCTTGTGGAAATGTATGACAAGTTTAAAAGGTTTTTAGAAGCACGAAATCATGATCGAAATGCAATAACTGAAAGTGAGGAAGATAACGACGATGATAATGACGATGTTGCAAATAATGAAGTAAATAACTCAGAAGAACAAGAAGATGACCAAAATACTCTTAAAAATTCAATTAAAAATGTTTTTGATGTTATTTTCAACCGAGTTCCTTTCAATTTAATTTTTGATTTCGACGATACAGATGACACTGATATTAAAAGCTACGAAGATAGCGAAGAAGATGATATAAATTATCAAAAACTTCTTAAACAAGAACGTGATCAAGAAAAATTTAAAACGGAAAGTTTAATTAATCAAATAGTTGAAGAAGAAACTCAAAAAATTGTTGAAAATAAAATTGCCGTAGTTGATGCAGGTAAATCATCTATAGGATGCTATACCAAATAATTTCATGAATCTAATTGTCTTCATTTATTTTAGACGACAACGATGAAACTGTTGAAGAAAAACAAGAAATTAAGAAGGAATCAGTGATTAATGAAAATGTGTTGATTGTCAAGAATGAAAATAAACCTAAAAAGTCAAAGGAAGAACTTCATTTAGCACAAAAACAATTTGAGAAACTTCTTTTGAATCTTCCATCATTTGTTCCTGATTATACAAAAGTTAAAAATCCAGAATGTCAAAAGCAAGGTGAAGTATTTCAACGTCAATTACGTGGTCAAAAACTATGGGCGCTTCAAATGATGGATGCGAATGCGAAAATTCCTTCAGGCTTATTGCGTGGCAACGTCAATCAACTAGGCGATTTTGATTTGTGTACCAAAATATCACAAAAAATAAAAATATCCGAATCGAATATTATAAAGATGAAAGGAAAATACTGCTTAGCTAACATTGATGTAGTTGCTGCTGTTGATCAACTTAAATTACCAGTACATTTAATGCAAGGAAGAAACTTTATTCGTAGTACCATTAATGATGTGAGTTTAGTGCAAACGAGCTTAAAGAATTGTTTTAAATACAAAATAATATTTACTTATTATGATTCGTAGCCAAATCATTTCTTTCCACGCTATTCAACAATTAATTGGGGTCTGTGTCTTCCATCTGCTTGTTCTTTCAATGATGCTGATCATATTTTGGAGTCATTCATTGGACCATACAATTCATCTGGCGTTAAGCTTCATATAAGCGTGGATGAAGACAGTTGTTATATGCGAAAAAGTGCACAGAATGTCGACCTCATTAAAAGTGATTGGAGGATATTTGGAACATAGTAAGTGCATTGTCAAATAAACCAATTAATTATTGATTTATTTTCCTATAGTCTTTTCATCTTTTTAACAATATCAGCAACAGTTTTATCAACACTCAATGAATATTTAGATACTCCTTTCATGACAACAATTTTGAATTCAAAAACAAAAACTTCTGAAGAAAATGATGAAAAGGAAGAAGAATCAAAAATATCCACAACAACAAATTCATTGCCAAACAAAATTCTTTCGTGTTTTTCTTTGAAAAGAAATCTTAATGCTTTATGGGATGACTCAAATGTTGAAGATATCAAATGCTTGCATGGTTTGAAATCAATTTCAATCATTTTGTTATTTATTTCGCTTAGACTTATTCCGATGGGGCGTGTACCATACACCAATCGTAACAAATTTACTGAATTCTTCAACTCTCCTTTAACCGTATTCTTAAGATCATCTTTTCTATATGAGGATGTCTTTCTTGTAATTAGTGGTTTTCTTTCGACTCTAAGCATCATAAAGGAAATTTCTGCCGGAGGAAAAATCGTTTGGTTAAAGAAAGTTTTAGGAAGATATTTGCGACTCTTGCTTCCTTTAACCTTTGTTCTCTTATTCTATGCGTTTATTTTTGAAAGTATTGGAACTGGTCCTCAATGGAATTTAATTACGAAAAATGCACAACTTTGTCAGCAAAATATGTGGAAAAATGTTTTGTTCATTCAAAACTTCTATCCTTTTGAAGAAATGGTAAAAATGTTTGAACTTTCATTTGCAATATGTGAAAATTAATCTTTAAACTTCTAGTGTGTACCTCAAAGCTATCATCTTGCAGTTGACTTACAACTCTTCATTTTAACTCCATTATTGGTATGGTTAATCTACAAAAACCCAACTTATGGATTTGGAATTTATGGAATCATACATACATTGTCAGCTGGAGCAAGATTTTCTACTGCTGTCGATTTTCGTCTATCAACTGTTGTCTTTCACGGAATGAAGTAATTTAAAAATTCAAGTTTTTTTTTTAAGAATTGCACCAAGTTTTACTTTTTTTATTCATCAGATTAAGTCAACTATATCGAACATTTAGCTTATCATTTACTGTTGCTTTGCATCGAGCTACTCCATATCTCATTGGAATTGCTTTGGGAATTGCAATTAAAGAATTTGGAAAAGTCAAATTGTCGAAAGGAGTAACTTATAGTGGATGGGTGGCAACAATTACTTCTTTAATTTGGTGCTTTTACAAGCCATCAAATTTATCTCACAAAGATTATCAATATGATCCGATATCAGCTGCACAATACTCTGCATTAGCTCCATTACTTTGGAGTCTCTGTGTTTCATGGATTATTTTTGCATGCTACAATGATGCTAGTTGGAAGCTTAACGATCTTTTAAGCTCAAAAATCATGATATTCTTGAGTCGTATTTCATACTCAATTTATCTAGTCACATTTACTGTATTCTTCTACTTCAGTGGAACCCTAAAAAGCAGTGAGGAATTTCACGTAGCATCATATTTAGATAGAATGGAAACATTCATCGTTTTTATAGCTGCCATGTTATTTACACTTGTCGTTGATATGCCAACACAGAATTTTGTCAAATTAATTCTTAACTCAAACAATTTTGTATCATCGACTGTTTCAAAGGAATCGAAAGAAGAAGAAAAACCACTTGAAGATGAGATTGAAAATATTTTTGGAAATGATGATGATGATTACGTTTTTAGGCCTGTAAAATTGCAATATAAATACGAAGAGAATGGCAATGATGAGTATGAAGTTTGATTTTGATTAAAATTTGATTCTAAATCTTAAGAATCTTTTAATTCTAGACACATTAATGGAAATGTCAAAGAGGAAGAACCAGAAAAAGAGGATGAACCTGAAACAGAAGAAGTTATTGAAGCTAAATTTGAGATTAAACCTAAAACTCCTATGAACGCAAGACGCTGGAAATGGGAAGTCAGTGACTAAAACATACGCACGCAGTTATACTAAGCATTATTTTCCGAGCTTTCATAAGCTTTAAAAATTGTTTTCAAGACATATAATACGATTGTTTTCAGTTTGTATTCAATAAATTTTTGTTATCACTTGTTATTTAATTCTAAACTTTATATTAATCCAAAGCACCAAAAAAATTTGAGTTTCAGATTGGTAAAAATTTATTGACACTTATTCACTATATCTGTACAAATTTAAAGCAAATACTGCATCACTTAAGAGTTATTTATTTAATACAATCTATAGTTCCCGCTTAATACTTAAATCACGAAAACTGAAATTGACTCTTCAATCAATTTAAAATAAACATAAATCTTCCTTATGAAGAATAATAATTTAAATTAGGAATATCACTTATCGTTTAATTAGTCAAATATCATGCCGAAACTTCCGATGTACTAATTGTTTGACTACTCGTGCTAATGGCACAGTCGTTGAGATCATCTGATGCGCTCGATTTAGTTTCACGCTTTTGGCTTAAGTTTCTTCGTAAGAGAATCTTCTCAATTCCATGAATTGGTGACTCAAACATTAAGCAAAGTATGAGAGCTGCTAGAAACGTCAGCGCAACGTGCGACAAAGTCTCGCCGGTCTGTGATTGTAAGGAATGAAAATGTTTACATTTTGTAAAGAAGTAAGGTTATTAAATAATTTGATCTTACCAAACTAAACACGCTCATATATCTTGGTGTTCTCACTGAAGCCGCAAGATACAGTTCAATAAATCCATTTGTTAAGTAAGCACAATATGTCAGACGACTGATAGGAACTAAGATGTGTGATGATAAAAATGTCTTAAGTAAGCTTCCACTGCTAGTTACGCATCCCAAAACAAGCCATCCTGTAAAGATGCTCCATCCTAGACGATGCAAACTATTGTACAAGGCACTTTCGAGGTTTGAGTATTTATATGATGGGATGTAGTATAATGTGACACCATACATTGATGCGATGCCTGCTATTGATGATAATATCCACATTAGATTTCTTTTTTGATTAGAAATTCGGATTCTGTGAAAATTTAAAGATAAAGAATAAATAAATCGAGAACTTTAAGGTTTAAAAATTCAAACTTACTTTTTCTTGTGGATATAAAATGCAATATAGCCAATAAGGATACCAATTATGTATGATATCGCTCTCATGTGTGTCTTTCCATATGTATAAATGAAATAATTGTTTGCTGACAAGTCTGATACTTCACTAATGATCAAAACATAGTTGATAATGTTTAAAAATATTGAGACTTATAAGGTCAATAACTTACTCTTGCCATATCATAAAAGTTGGGTCTAAACTTTGAGTGTATGTTATATAAAAAGGAATGAAAGTACATATTGATGCTAATATTCCAGTTATATACAATCCTATTCGTCTACATTTCCACAGAGGATAAATTATTAATGGTGCCAGAATAAACAGTTGTGTATCGGCTGTAGATGAAAAATGATTGAAATATGAATAAATAAATCTGTCTTCATTTAAAAGATTTTTTAAAATCAAATTATCATTGTCATTTTTACTCATTACAGAGAATCAAAATTTTCAATTGATTGAGTTTATAAATTCGCAAATTATATTTTATTATGGAAAGCAGAGTTAAATTTCTAGTAAAGAAAAGTTCACCGCTGAATCATCCTCATCATGTTTTCTCAGTATTGAATTTAACAACTGATTTTTTGCCATCTCAAAAAAAGAATTCATCAAGATTTCTATCCATAAACGCACGAAAAAATCGAAGTATGGACAGCAGAATGATGAGGAAGACAAGAACATGGATTCCACATTATAAGGAACATTCAAGATTTTTAAGAATCCGCTCGAAACAGAATGAGAAGAAAATGTCGTTCAATGAACTATTGTCAGTAAAAGTAATCGATAGTTTCAGCTCAGAGAAGAAATAGTCTCAAAAAAAAATTATCTTACCAGCTAAATACCAGGATTGAAACATACAAAGAGCATCATTGCCGTAATAATTATTTATGTACAATAAATTTTTCCACCAAGATATTTGACAACGCTCTTGTTCCAATGAGATTCTTTGCTTCCATAATGGACCATCGCCAATTTTTATAAACCATGTAGAATAAAGTCCAATCATCATTAAATAAGCTGGTGTCAACCTATATTATATAAATAGAAAGATTTAATAATTGTATTTTATTTTAGAAACAAGAAATCATCAATTTCAAACCTTATGTATCGGAAAACGTAAAGCAATCCAAAATTAATTCGACCTCTTCTTTTATCCATTTCTACAAGAACTAATCTTGCAAATAAAAATCCACTGAGCAATAAAAAGGAGTCAACCAGCAATGGAGAATTGAATAAAAATGCATTTTGAATCATTGTCAATTGTTTCTTGAAGAATTCGGAATTTTGCATTGGACCTCCAACCATAAAAACTAAAGCGTGTCCACTGAGGATGCAAAACATTGATACTGCTTTAATTCCATTAAGACAACTTAATCCGAACTCATCTTTACTTTCTTTACCAAGTTTTTTCAAATTGGCTAAACGGAAATAAATGGAATAATATTAAGTCATAGGTAAGCATTTAAGAAATTTTGAACTTACCAATAATTGAGAATGAATGAACGATTTCCTCAAATGGTAAATACTGATGCGGTTTTCTTTTTTTCGATGTACTTATTGCATAAATGTGAATTATTGTGCAAAGAACAACAACTAATAGAAAGCTTGAAAGCGTTATGCTGTAAACAAACAAAACATCATTTCATAAGTTGAAGATTAAAGCTATTAAATAGATATTATTAATCTTTACCCAAAAATAATATCAACGGTACTAAATTGCCATTCTTCTTTGACTTGACATTTATGAGGATCAATTTTTATCTCATCACGTCCCGTCATTATTTTCATAAACGAAACGATATCTTCATTAGAACATGAGGATGGCACGCAAACTGCCCAATGAATAATAGTTGAATTTTTGATCTAAGGAAGGTCATCAAAAAATATAATGAGGATAATGAAACTTATTATTTTGATTATTCTAGGTTATAGTTTATTTTTAAGTGGCGTGCGGCACTTACTTGATTATTTCTAACTGCAGAGTTTCTGACAATAAAGTTGTCCATTTTAACATCAACTAAGCAGTATTTAGGCTGTATATTCACTCCATCATTTTTTATAGTGGCTGATATATTCATGCATTGATCAAAGTTTCCAAGTTGAAATTCTACTCCATATTCAATTCCTTGGGGGATCTTTACCGATGAATCGTACACTAGAAATTATCATTTATTACTATTTATTGATACTTTCTTCATTTATTTAGGTTTGAGAAACAATGAGGGTCATTCACTTATAACGTAATCATTTAAGGAGGTCTGAGATTTTTGTGACGCTATACAAATGTAAATGTATTCGCTAGACGTCAGAGGTGAGCCACTCGAAAGAGAATCTTATATTTTGAAGATTTTTCTTAATATAAAATGTGAGAATTTCTTAACCAATCAATTGACATAAGAAATAATGTGTGAAGTTTATCATCAATAAATTGATCATTTAATTTATATAAGCACTTGACGTGTGTTTAAATAACTAATTTGTTTTTATTTTCAATCATTTTATTTTACTATTTTAAACGATGAGACAAACACATTTCACTCCTTAATCAGCAACAATCACGATAAAATTCTTATAAGTTTAGGTTTGTTTGTGATTTTCATTGATTTTAACAATGCTTGAATGAATTTATTATTAAATTTAACTCTTATAAAAGTTATAATTGAACATTTTTCAATAAAAAGCTTTTGGAATCTGACATTATAATTAAGAAACCAAATCTTAAATGTACAAATTTTAATTGAATGTAAATTTAAATTGGAATGTTCTCTTGGTAAATTTTAAAATTATTTTCCTGAAATAAAGTAAAATTTTCAATGTCATAAAATCTTTTCCTCATTATTAAAGAAATATTTTGTCACGTTTTTTCAAGCTAATCAAGCCAAAGCAGGAGGCCTTTACTTTAAAGATTTTATAAACCAATTTATACAAAAACCTAATTTTGGAAAGTCAATAATTTTATTCAACAATTAACGCGCTATAAAATGCGGTTTATTTTCAACAAGTTCATTGTGCCAAGATTAAATGATTATATAATTATATGTGTCAACTATCAAAGCTTTTTTATGATTTTCGTATCACAACCACGTTAAAACACTTTCATCGAAAAAAGAAGAAGAAAATATGTGTTAAAATACAGATTCATAAAGATTCGTGCATTTTTCATATAGCGAATGTAATTTTGAAGGTCAGTTTAGGTTTTCAAGTTAAATTGCATTAAGATAAACTTAAACTTTTTATCATAATGTCTCAAAAAAATTATTCAGAAATTGCCGCCAATTTAATAGTTTTGTTATTAAAAAATTAAACTGGAATGTAAAATTATTGTTATTGTAGGTGCAAAAAATTTAATATCATTGTTGAATAATTTATAAGCACATTGATGAATAAAGTTTTTTTTTCCACAAAGATTCTACAACTTTTCACTCTATGCATGTTACTTAAAACTATAAATCCACTTCACTTCCTCGTTATATTTAATTAAAATAAATAAGCTTCTTAATTTATAAATTTTAAGAACTTCTTACTTGCAATTGCCCATGCTTTATGTTTATGATAATTATGAATTGTCGAATTTATATCACTTTTACAATGTGAAGACAAAATATCTTTATCAATTGCACTTGCTATTTTAGAAATAATAAATGAATCTTCACTGAAATTTTGTACTATTTCCTCAGTTGCACAACAAATTGCAAAAAGTGCAAGAAATAACAAAACTTTAATTTTTTTATTCTTCATTCTTCCTGTGTTTGCTAATTAAAAAGTATTATGCTTATGAATTATATTTTCACTGAACTCCCGCATTCATTTGCGATCTTAACAGCTCGATTACTTACAACTGACTGAATTGCTAAAAGCGAATGAAAAATAAGTTTTGGATATCGTAAAGATTTACGTAGAGTGGAATGAGAAAAGAGAATTCAATGAGTGAATATGAAAATGCTTTGATTAGTAAAATTATGCTCAATTTTTTAACTAGCCGGTATTTATGATAATTAATAAAAGAGAATTTGAACTTTGTTTGAAATTTTTTGCATTTTTGGCTAAAACTTAATTTGAAACTTTAAAGAATCTTACAAAGAAATCAAAAGATTTCAAAAAACATTTCCAAATTATAAAATCCTTTTCATAAAATCACCAAGATCAGTTTATTCTAGAATATGAGCGCGTAAAATTCCATTAGCTTAAGTAACTCATTTATTATCATTTACATCGATTGTTTTTAATTTTGCTTTCATTCACAGCTGCTGTTGTAAATAATTATAAACTGTGTAATAAGACGCAATCAAGCAGGGGTTCTCAAATTTTATCATTTTTCCTTAAAATTGTAAACATTAATATGATTTAAGATTTAATATATCCAACTTCATATAAAATCAAACTTTTATGTACCGCAGCACACCGTTTGAGAAGCAATCGCGTTCGTAAATATCAACTCTATCCAATAATTTATTCTATGTAATTAAAAATGTTCAGAATTTAAAAGTTTAGAATATGCAGTCAAAGCAAATATAAAATAACTCTTGCTAATCTTGATCACTAGACATTCTCAATTCTTGACATTTTGACACTGCACAGCATGTGTTTGGAAAAAACATATTTTCAGGATAATTGCTTCTAAAAATGGTCCTATTGTTATTTATTTGAAAACAATAATCAAATGCCAAACCCATCTCCGATAGAACAATATTGAGTGCTTTTAAATATTAATTGATTCTTGACGCAATTTCATAATGGAAAAGATGATTTGCAAGATACTTCAAACGCGTGTAACGTGACAAAAAAAAATCCACTTAGATTTAAGAAGAAAGGATTTACGCAAGCATTATAAGAAGTAACCAATTTTTATAAATTATCTCATTTTAATCTTACTTAGTCATCAATATCTCTTTTAATGTCACGCGATATTTTGCCAACATTTTATTATGCTTTAAAAAACATATTACATCATATGCCAATGATATTTTGGGTTTTTGAACAACGTGGTCCGCAGACGACGTGCCTTAAATTCCCAGCTTCCAAATGATACTTTGATTTTTTTGCTGAGTTTCATTTCCAATTTGTCAGCATGAAAATGTAAAACAAAATTGCTCGAGATCGAAAGTTTATTCAACTTTTTCTTGTAAAAATAAGGTTTTGAATGTATTGGTCAGCAGACAACCTTGACCTATTTTTAAAGATTCTTGTAAACCTATAAGGATCATTTATTATCACTATCTTTTGGATGGCATAATTCAATTTTAAATATGATATCATTTTCGTCCACATTACTACTAACCTACTTTAAAGAAATATTGGACAAGATGAAAAAACAAAAAAATGTTTTTACGAAAGTTGAAAATAATACAATGTGTGAGTATGACCATCATTTTATGTAACATTTGAGTCCCAATTTCATTATAATACTTAGTCACAATTATTTCGTCTGAAAAATAATTTCTTATTACAAAAATAACATTGCATAATGCTTTTAAAAAAAAATTGATATTACTTACATGTGTGGATAAAGCAAATAATCACATGAATTTGACCTGTTTAAGAATAAAAATCTTAAGAGGCTGATGACATTAAATGGAATGAAAGTAAAAGTATGTTGTAATAAAAATAAAAACAAAGTTGACCTTCAAGGGCGTTAAAAGATTGAAGAAGGAAAGAGGAAAGGCAATTCCGATGTAAAATGTATGTTAATGAGTCAATAAATTAATGATGATGCCTTACTTCATATGTATTAGGTTTATGATCATTATTTTAAAATATTTTGAATGATATAATTTTAATTAGAATTAGATCATAAGAAAGACTTAAAAAATTAATCAAAATGATTTACCACATTTCAAATGCTTTATTAGTTCGTAGCTTTAAACATAATTTAATAAATTTTATCGTTCATCTAATTAAATCTATCTCTCTTAAAAGTTTCTGGTTGTTGGATGTTCAAACTGATATTTCTTAGTTTCCATTAGCTTTTCTCCAACAACTTTATAGACATGCATTGATGTTCCATGTTCACCACTATCAATATCATGTGCTATTTTCTTTATACGATTTGACAAGTCAAAACTAAAGGCATTCGAAAGATAAACTTCTTGTTCACCATTTCTTAATCCAATGCAATACGATCGGGATGCTCTGGAGTTTGCTGCGAACATAGCATAACATAATGTTGCCATTTCTGAGATTTTTGCAATCTCAGCTGAATGCTGAAATATTTGTGTTCCATATCGTCCTAGAAGAATCTCAATTGATGCTCTTAAACGATAGATTGATGCTTCAAGATAAGTTCCTGCTGGTCTCAATGATGGATGTAAATAATGCCACAATTCCATTTTTAATTTTGGATCTTCAATCGATATTTCGTTCCTCATTCGACTAAAGATAAACATTGGATGATCTAAAATGCTTCTTTGCTTCTTTATCATAGCATTAAATTCTTTTCCAGCATGACTCATTCCACTTAAACCAATAAACTGATTTAAAGTTGCTATAGGCTCTTCTGTGCCTATCAATTGAATTGCGTCACGAATTATTTTGTCATATCCTTCATCAGTTATTGTACATTTTGGTCCAACTATATGCATTGGTGCTGTTATGAACTCAGACAGTGATTCTACAGCAAATGCTTTTATTATTCCACACTCGACATCAATATCTTGATTTTCATAAATATCCCTTAATCCAGCTGTTAAATATACCATACTTTCTAGCGCATAACAATTTGCCATTAATTTTCCCATTTTTTCTTTTAACGTATCAATGTCTTTAAAATGTATATTTTGAACTTTTGTATTGATGATGTAGTCTGTTAATTTATTTATGATAGGCTTCATGATTGCAGAAACTGCCATTATTCCAACATTTAATCTCATCTGGTTGAGCAATTCTATCGAAGTACTTATATCGTCACTGACAAAATTTTCTGGAATATTAAAGATACAATTAATTAACCAGTATATAGCAATTAGTCAAGTTATATAATCACCGTTAGAAATCTCAACATTTTTAAGTTTGAGCGTGACTCGTCGGAAAGTTGCTTCCTTAAATCCAATTGTAGACTGATTTTCAGATATTGTAACACCATGAGTACTTCCATCAATAAGAAACATTGCAGCTTTTTCCTCAAAGTCACCGCAATTATTGGTTGCTTCAATTGAAGCAATAACTAGAAATAAGGATGATCCAAGATCATTTATGAGTACATTCGATTTCTCTCCATCAAGAATCCATGTATCATTGTCTGTTTTTCGAGCTAATGTATTAAATGGTCTGTTTTCTGTCCTTGGTGGAACCGGCTCTGTAAGACAAATAGATCCAATCATTTCTCCTCTTGTCAGTCTTGATAGATATCTGGATTTTGAATCTTCACTTCCGTAATTTGCAATAATATCTCCAACAATTTTATGACTCGTTGTAAAGACATTATAGCTTAAAACCTTGGATTCTGGTTCACTTTGAGAATAAAACTGTTCAGTTTGCAGTGATGGTTCACAGCTAAAGCTTCCAAATTGACTCATTTTAAATAAATTCTTGCTGTCATCTGGATTATTGAAGACATTCGTTTCCAGAAAGTCATTATACGAATTTTTTCTTTGCGTCGCATGATTTAATACACTATTATCATATAAAGCTTCTGGATATGCCATTAATTCGGTGTCAACTTTTGCGACAAAGAAATTCTTAATGAGCGGTTCTCGTTTCGGCTTTTTCTCAGGTATTTTAACAGCGTCATACTTTTCCTTAAATTGTGTTACTTCTGCTCCTTGCAATCTAGTCGATGACGTTAAAATATATCGATAGAAATTGTTTGTTACAGCACTATTTCGATTAAATACAATTCTTGAAAACATTGCTGATTATTTTTTTCACAATTTTATGTTTACAAAAAATTCAAAATTTTCAAAGCCGTTAATTCAATTTAAAAATCATGAACAATTTAAGACATGCTTTAGAAGCATTAAAATTTATTTTTATGCTGTTTTGTATAATACATCTCACAGTTGATCTGTTATTAATGCTTTTTATAAATATGATTTTCAAATCAATCTGGTAGGTTATTGAAGAAGATGAAAATATGGCGAGAAGGGGGGGGGGGGGGGTTAAAATCAATTAATTAAAAATTGATTAAAGGGCTATCTTGTGTCAACAGACATACCCAATAAAAAAATCAATCCCCAAATAAACCTTATCGTCCATGATAATGTGTATTTCACGTAATGATTATCATCATTCTCAAAGCACTTTACAGAAGCATATCAATTTTTCTTTTTTTTTAAAATAATAGATAATCGTCTATACTTGTTCAATTTATTAGTTTATCTGAATTAAATTCAGTTTGCATTCTTAAGTCGTACACAGAAGACACATAAAAATTAAGATCCTCTATAATTAGATATTTTTGACACTCATTGAGTAATTACAAGTCATTAATCGATAATTGCGTGTCTAAAAAATATAAAAATAATTTAACATAATGGGTGCTGGATGTTGTAAGAATGATATTGCTGCAAATGTCAAAAGCATTATGGTCAAACCGCGTAAGTTAATCATCAAACAATTAAGAAAAGTAAACTTACTAGGTTTTACCCATTAAGACAGATAGCAAGGTTTCACCTGAAAATAATCACGCATATGAAGATAATGAATATGTTGAAGCTGACGTTTGTCACGAAAATGATATCGGTGAAAATGAAATGAAGAACTTTGAATTCGAGAGTGAGGATATATGCACAAAAGTTCTTGTTATTAAGCAGAAAGGAAAAATATCAGCAATCGGAAATAAATGTTCGCATTATGGAGCCTTACTGTCAATGGGCGTTTTAGGAGATGGTCGAGTTAGATGTCCATGGTATGAAAGCTCTCGACTAGTTTCTCGAAAGATAATATAATTTAATTGCAGGCACGGGGCATGCTTTAACATAGAAACCGGCGATATTGAAGACTACCCGGGACAGGATTCAATTCCATGCTATCAAGTAAAAATTGAAAGTGGAATGGTTAAAGTTCGTGCTAAAAAGTCAGCACTGCAGTCATCAAAGCGAACACCTCAACATATTGGACGAGCTTTGACAAATTCTCAAACTTTTGTGGTTATTGGTGGAGGTAACGCATATCTATTCTATGATACATATTTCAAAGTCATTGTGTGTCTAAATCTTAGGTCCAAGTGGTGCGATTTGTGTTGAAAACTTACGAAAAAATTTCGGTGGAAAAATCGTTTTAATTTGTCGAGAGAATTACCTGCCTTATGATCGTGTTAAAGTTAGCAAAGCTATGGACAGCACAATAGAGTCAATTCTATTGAGAAATGAAGACTTTTATGATGACAATGATATTGAAGTCATGGTTGGTATATCAGCTACATCTTTAAGTTTAGAAAGCAAAGAAGTGAAGCTAAGCAATGGAGATACTTTGAAGTACGATAAGACGTATATAGCAACAGGCTCATCACCAGCTCTATGTAAAATAATTTTTAATGTTTGGGGTCTTCGTTTATTACAGACTAAACGCAAATATTCTTAAAACGTTATGTAATGGATGAACATCCTCAGTACAAAAGGATTCTGACAATTTTTGTCATCTAGATCAGTTCCGCAGCCTTAAACTTATTCTAATATTACAATCTTAATGTTGTTTCATACTGTTTTTAGTGAACATTCCTGGAATGGATTTAAAGAACATTATAACGCTTCGAGACATCTCAGAATCCTATCAAGTCATGCAAAAAATCAATAAAAAGAGCCATGTTGTAGTCATTGGAGTAAGCTTCACGGGCATGGAGGCAGCATCATTTTTGATAAAGAAGGTGGCAAAAGTTACAGTCATTGGAAGAGATTCTGTCCCATTTAGACATTCTTTTGGTCCGGAGATAGGAGAAGCAATTATGAATATGTTTGGACAGGAAAAGATTGAATTTGAGATGCAAAATGGAATCAAGAAATGTATTGGAAATCAGAAAGGAGAAGTAGAAAGCGTAGAATTGAATGATGGGAAGATGTTACAAGCTGATATTCTTATAGTAGCATGTGGAAGTATTTTAAATACAGGATTTTTAAAGGATAGTGGATTAGTCATCAATAAGGATGGATCGATTGATACAAATGAATATTTGGAAACAGCTGTTAGTAGTGACATTTATGTAGGAGGTGATATAGCTAATAGTCCAATTTTGATGACAGGAAAGAGAGAGAATATTGGTCACTATCCATTAGCTCAATATCACGGTAAAATTGCAGCATTAAACATGTGTGGAATTAAAACGGAATTAAAAGCAGTCCCATTCTTCTGGACGATGCTATTTGGAAAGTCGTTCCGCTATGCTGGTCATGGAAAACCATCAGAAATCAAAATTGTTGGAAGCCTAGAAAACTTTAAATTTGTAGCTTATTATATTAATGAAGTAGGAAGAGTTATAGCAGCATCTAGTTGCGGACATGATCCAGTTGTAGCACAGTTTGCAGAATTTTTATCACAAGGAAAGATATTACACAAAGACGAGATTGAAAGTGATCCCTTTGAATGGATAAAAAGAATTAATGAAGAACGCGAAATTTAGAGAAATTAAAAAACCGTTGACCACGTGTTGCTTGTGATTTTTGAATTATTCAAATTTATTTGTAATTTTTATCCTTTGGAATCATTCATTGATGACGTCTTTTATTTAAGGAGGGGGGGGGGGGGGAGTTTAAATCACAATCCTAAAAGTGTGACGTCTTTAGTAAACAACCCCTGAAAAAGTAAATAAACAAAAATGGAAACAAAACGTATTAAAATTGAAGATTTTTGTGTTTCTCTTAATCATTTACCATTAAATATCTTATATAAGATACTGGGCTATCTGCCACTATGTGATCAAAGGAACTTGACATCAGTTAATCAGTTTTTTCATTCAATAGTTTCACAACTTTTAAAAGACCGAACATATTTATACATTTCAAAGGTAAAGAACCTTTTGATCAATTACAATTGCTTGCTATATGCTTGAATTTATCATTTTGTAGCAAAAAGAGGCTAATTTGAACGATATCCAGATTATTAGAAGACAATTCAGTGAGATTTTCTTTCATGGAAACTTGGAGAAAAACACAATTGAGGAAGTTCTCAAAAAATTCGGACAGAATGCAAAGAAAATTCAGTTTGGGAAAAATGACTTAAGGTTCATCAAAATTAGTCCATTAGATATGATATCATGGCTAAGGAATATTCAGGAAACGATTCATCTTAATACATTAAATATTAAAATGGATGGAACAGCAACAACAAATGAAACAGTTACTTTATTGCAATTAAAGAAGCTTAGATGCTGCGATACATTTTTATCAGTATTAGATACACCTAAACTTGAAGACATTCAAATATTTTCTACAGACCGGCTTAAGAAACAGAACCTGGAAAACATCAATAACTTCTTAGTTCGTCATCACTCGATAAAGAAGTTCTCATTCCGAATATTTTGTGGAGTGGATATAGAGATTCAGGATATTGATTTTCAATTAAATCACCTGAATTTGACACATTTGAAATTAAGCGAATTTCGCTACAATCCTAAATCAGTAGTTGACATTCTTCAGAATCAAAAGAATTTGTTCAAGCTTCATCTTGAGGATGGCTACTTAACACAAGAAGATATTATCTGGTCTCGTCAATATGAGCCAATATTTCATGAGATTTTAAATTTAAAAAAAATTAATAAGCTTGTTGTAGAAATACCGTCTCTAAAGCTAGTTCGCAATTTAAGGAAAATGACAAATTTGAAGAGGTTGCATATGAATGCAATAACATTGGATGTTCTAAATGAATTTTTAAGAACTGATTATCCTCATTTAAGTAAATTGTGTTTAGAGGGTATAGATTTTGGCACAAGAGGACTTAAAAAAGAAGATATTTGGTTATTAAGCCAAAACTTTAAAAATCTTACTCATTTGAAATTTGATTCTGTGCCTTTATCTGTAATTGATTGCATGGTGAAGAATATGGAGAACTTAAAAGTCATTAAGATCATTAGAAATGCAAAGCTTCTGAGCAAAATGAAATCCCTTAAAGATGACAATCTACAAATCATCGAAACTCGTCTTGAAAAGATTATATGTGAGCAGGAAGACTTTAGGACCAGAATTTTACCAATTATCAAAATATCACCAAACTTAAGAGAAGTTAAAATTTATTGGAACAACAAGCAGACGCCAATAATGACAATTATCTTCGATATCCTTGAGAAATGCTTACAAATTGATCAGATTGAATTCAAATATAATGGATTATATGCCAAAGATAATGCTATACTTTTTAGCTCGCACTTTAATTTCTCACTTAATAACCGACACTATCAAGTTATGATTTGTCGAAAGACTGGAAAGATTTTGTGCTCGAAATTTTAGTCAATTTTGAATCTTTATTAATGTTCATTTATTATGACAAGCAGATAAGATTTAATTTGATTAAATACAGTTCAATTTTAAAAAGTTATAAATCAAGGATGCGGAACTGATCAAAATTATCCACACTCTTGGTCAAAATTATAAAAATGGATTTAAACTGCTTCTAGAGAATTATCGTTTGCATGGACATCATTATTAATCCCATTTTGATCTTTCGACAAGTCTTTCAATTGTTCAACAAGTTCAGAATAGCGCTTTTGGAGATGCTTTTCTCGTTCAGTTTGACGATTCACATCATCAGTTAATGACTAGAATTAAAATAAGTATAAATTGTAAGATTAAATGATTAAAAAGTCTTTTTTACCTCCAATCGCTTTGGAATAGCTGTAGTTTCCATTTTTTCTAAGAACTTGAATGTTGACAGTGAAAGATAGTTTTGCTCAATCTGTTCATAAATTTCTTGAAGCTGTTTAATCAACGAATGAGCTCTTGCTTGATATCCACCAAGTAAAGTTTTCAACTTCTTTTCTAATTTACTGCACTTTTTAGCTTCACGTGCCATGACTCGTCTATTTTGTTCAAGTCTTTTTTCATACGACTCAATTCGATCCTTTTTGCTTGCAAGACTTGCTCTTGTGTAACGATTTTGAGATGGCAAATACAAGACCTGACTTAAGCATTCCTGCCAAACTTGTGAATAACTTTCTATTGATAAATCTCCATGAGCCATGCCATTTTTAACAATATACATTTCACTTTTAAGCAACTTTGCTGCATTTTCACGCTCTTCAACCGAGACTTTATGATATGGATGAGAATCGAGATAATTTAAATGTTGTTGTTTCTTTTGTGGTGCAACACTATTTCCTACAACTGGATCATTTAATGCATCATAATGTAACATTGTAATCATTTCTTGTTTAATTAATTCTTCTGCTTTCTGTAATTCTGTCAATCCTTGCATTTCACTTATTGGTCGTAGCATAGTTGTATTAATTTCAATTGGTCTTGGCAAGTCTCTCTGAATTACGTGTGATCGCAACAATAAAGCTTGTCTTTTGCGTTCTTTCTCTTCCTCCATTCGTTTTGCATCGACATCAGCCTGATCTTCAATAGACATTTCTGTACTTTCAGACATTTCCTCTTGCTCTTCATCTGGTACAACAATTTCATAGTCATTTTTTGGTGTTGGCAATGACGCTAAGCCTTCACGTAATGACGATTTAACTTGTCTTTGAAAATGTTTATAAGCAGCAGGTGTTTCTGTAACACTCAATGAATCTTCTGGATTAATATTTAATTTGTCACGAACATTTGCTGGAGTATAACTTATAGTTTTTGGAGTTCCACTTACGGGTAACAAAGCTTGAGAAGATGGAGTGCTAAAATTACTACTTGGAGTAGATCCAGTTTCCTTTAATGTTCTGAATGGTGTAGCAATGACTGTATTTGGAGTCGCAATCGAAATAGTTTGTGGCAATGATCCACTAAAGTCTGTTGATGTTAATGGTGTGTTTTGACCACCTTTTAATGGAGTTTCAACATGAGTCAAAGCCATTACATTTTGTGCTTCTTGCATAATTCTGTCTGTAATTGGAGCTGGAGTTCTTGGAGTAGCCGCAATTTGTGGAGTAATGCTATAATCAGCTAATAAAGCATCTGTTGTTTGAATTCCACTCTCTGATGCAATTTCTTTAGCTAATTCACTGGCCCTGCCTAGTTTAACGACTTGCTGAAGTTCCTGGTCTGAAATTTGTGGTTCAGGCAAGACCAATTTCGATCGTTTTCTTTCAGGCTCTTGATTTTGAAGCATAGCCATTGGCATATCATTTTCTCTCTTTTTCAATTTTTCTTTATCCTTTTTACGTTCACGAGCTTCTTTTTCAGAACGTAATTCACCATCAAGGTTTTGTTGACGTAGTCTTGAAAAGTCAGCTGAAATTGGAACTACAAATTCCTCAGCTGTATCATAAAATCCTCTTGCTGGCTGCTTTTCAAATGGAATTTCAGCATTATAATCAATTCCTTTAATTTTACGCTTTCGATTTCCAACCCCAATACCAGCAGCTCTTAATTCTCTTCGCTTTTGTAAAGCAGCTAATCGTCGAGCTTCTTCCAATTGCTTTTCACGAGCCTTTCTTTTTGCCTTCTTACCTTGTGTATTTGCCAGACGAGCTCTTGCTTCTGACAACATTTCTAATTCATCTTCATCCATATCCTTTGGATCAGGACGTGCTGGTTTAATTTCTGGATTAGGATCAATTTCACCAGGCTTTAATTTACGTGGATCGTCCAAGTTTTCATCTCCTTCCTCTTTACGTTGAGCCTGATCCAGTAAATATTCATAACGTTCTAAACACTGTGCAGCAGTTCTTCCAATAATTGGAGCAATTGTACGCCATTGAGTAGGCATTAGTTTAGCTAAATGTAATAGCTTCTCGTCTTCCTCTCTAGACCATTCTGTTTTCTTAATTGATGGATCTAACCATTCATACCATCGTGCTTTACATTGTTTTGCACTCTTTCTATGCAATAATGATGCAATACGTGACCATTGATTTTTGCCATATTTCATAACAGCTGCTTTGAGAATCTCATCCTAAGAAGATCATTAATTAAATTAGTATTTTTTGTGAAAATAAACGATTATAAACATTTCTTACTTCTGTGTTTCTCCAAACACCTCCTTTTATCATAATACGCGGCATTTTGATCTTATTTATTGATTTTCACTGTCACCGATACACAAATATTGTTAATTAACTTGAAAAGTCTCGATTTATTCTTGAAACCTAAAATTTATGTTTTTGTCACTAGTTTTAGGGATGTCAACAGAACATTTTTAATATTCGAATATATTCGTAACAAGAGATTTGTCGGTTAATTCAAATCCCTAAAGTATAAACACAATAAAATACCATTTTCACCCCTGATTTGCGTTCAGTGTAGAATATTTTTTGCAAGATCATTGTAAAAACCGGAGAATCAAAGAATATTAAGAATTGTGCATTAAATTAAAGAATAATGGCATTAAACGATATTTTGAAGCATATGCCATCGATTAACGATGCCTATAATGACTTTAAAGCATGCGAGGAGTTGAGTTTTGCTAATTTAACGCAAAATAAAGTTCTTTCAGTGCCTCCTTATTGTAATGTGAGTAAATAAAATTTAAAAACATCCAGGAACAATCCAGTAATCACCAATCATTCCTATTTCATTACTTTACAGCCAGTGGAGAATCTTGCAAAGTTACAGGAAGGAAATAGTGATGTTAAAATTCATTTTGATCATGGAACAACAACATTGGGATTTATTTATCAAGGAGGAGTTGTTATGGCTGTTGATAGTAGAGCCACTGGCGGTCAATATATTGGTTCTCAATCAGTTCGTAAAGTCGTTGAAATTAATGATCTCTTACTTGGTACATTAGCTGGTGGAGCTGCTGATTGTACTTATTGGTATCGTGTATTAACTTCTGAGTGTCGCTTGTATGAATTGAGAAATAAGAAGAAAATATCATTAGCAGCAGCCACAAAAATCATGAATAACATCATCTATTCCTATAAAAATTCTGGCTTGAGTATGGGAATGATTTTAGCTGGAGGTGATATGAATCAAGTAAGTCTGTACTACTTGGATTCAGATGGAACTAGAACAACTGGAAAAGTTTTTTCAGTTGGTAGTGGATCAATCTTCGCATTAGGTGTTTTAGATTCAGGATATAAATGGGATTTGAAAGACGAAGACGCTTATGGTAATGAAATCTAATTGAATTTTGGGCATTTAATAGATAAATTTTTGGACTTATAGAATTGGGTCGTCGATCAATTTATCATGCAACTCATCGTGATGCATATTCTGGTGGAACTGTCCGAGTCTATCATGTTAAAAAGGATGGATGGAACTTAATTTCTGAAGAAGATTGTCTCAACTTACATCGCCGTTACCAGGCAGAAAAAAATAATTAATAATGTTCATGAATTATTTTCAGAAATAAAAAACTTTCCTTAATTTTTAATTAAACTAATATTAGTATGGCATGAGCAGCATAGAGCCATGTCTGGAAGTTTCAGAGTTGTTAAATAATTACAAATAAACTCAGCAGGTACTTAACAAATTCGAAGTAAAATTTAAGAAGGTAGACATTTCATCTGGCACCCATGAAATTATAGTCTACATTAGTCCGAAAGCGTTACACACAAACTAGTAAGAAAATAAGTTTTGATGTCAAGAATTTTTATTATTTTTGAATTATTTTAAGTTTAAATAATTTAAAAAAGTTAAAGAGACTTGTTTTTCGGGTTGATTATGCAAGATTAATGTTATTTAATCACTATTTGATGCGTTAAGTTTATAAAGTTAAAGGAATTTTAGTGTATAAAAGAAAAAAATGTCGAAAAATAAATTTGTTCATAAGCAATCGGGAAGTTCTTTAATCGAGAGCTCGCTAATTGAGATAAAATCAAAGGTATGGATTATAACTTTTTCCTTAAATTTCAATTAAAATTATAATTAATTGTTTAATTTTAAACTTAATAGTTTGATGCAGAGTTTCGAAGATGGTCGATAAAGAGAAATCCAGAAAATCCTCATACATTTGATGACTTTTATTCAACAATTGAGCGTTTCCACAAATTGACTGGCGTAGCATTTCTCATTTCATATATTGATCCACGCGATAATGATTTACTACCGATCAACAATGATGATAATTATCATAGAGCATTAACGACTGCACGTCCTTTAATGAGAATTATAATACAGAAGAAAGGAGATAGCTTCGAAGAAACTATGGGATATGGGACATTGAGACCGAAGAATCTTATAAGTAGTTTACTTGGACAGACGCCTGTTAAATCCAAAACATTAGCCATTTCTAATCCACACGATTTTCGTCAGGTAAAAGAAAATATTCATCTCTCATAAATTGCTACATGATGAATCATTTATTGTTTGTACTAATACATCTACTCGCTACATATATTAATATTATGATTATTTCTTTTTTGCTCTAATTTAAAGGTTTCACAAATTATTGATGTAGATATTGTTCCTGAAACGTGTCGACGAGTTCGTCTTCTAAAGCATGGAAGCGACAAGCCTTTGGGTTTCTACATTCGTGATGGGACTTCGGTAAAAGTAACTGCAAATGGAATTGAGAAACAACCTGGAATTTTCATATCACGATTAGTTCCTGGCGGTTTAGCCGAGTCCACAGGTCTTTTAGCAGTAAATGATGAAGTTTTGGAAGTTAATGGAATTGAAGTGCACGGCAAAACTTTAGATCAGGTACTGTCAATATCTTTAATGCTCAATAGCTGAAAACAAATTGTTTATACTAATTTTAGGTCACTGATATGATGGTAGCAAATAGCTCCAACTTGATAATAACAGTTAAACCAGCAAATCAAAGAACGTTGGCTACACCAAGACGAGGTTCATTCTCACGCAACAGCCAATTATCTTCTGGATCACATCAATCACATCACACAAACAATACAAATACGTCAGACGAGAATGATCATGATGACCAAGATGAGGTAGTTGACTTAACAGGTATTGGAAGTTTGGAAGAAAATAATCTTGTAGTGAATCAAAATGGTGTTTTACATTTATAAAAATATGATTAGTTATTAAACAAAAATGTAAATCGGTAAGTGATCGAAATAATTAATTCCTCCGTTTCGTTACTTTTTGCAAGCACTCACACGAAAAATTAATTCATTTCTTATTGTTTCTCTTTATGATGATTATTATAATTATTATTACTGTATTATTTTATTTCAAAAAAGGCATTCTAGTGTAATTATCTATTTTTCTTTAATCCTCGAAGAATTGCTACACAAAACATGGATAATTCACATGGTTTTTATTTAAATATCAGTATATACACCTACTTACATCAAATGAATCATTGGAGGAGAATTTGCACATTTCCTTTATTGTCGCATAACTTTATATCGACTAGGAATTAGACATTTATAATTTTAAACATTTCCGTTGCATGCATGCACACAGCAAAAGCAAACATTCCGTTTTAGAATATTGAAAACAAGTCTGCATTTTCATTGACTTTGTGTACTTAATGTTTATTTATCATTTGTTCATTTTCAATAATTCACATTTTGTACTTAACAATATATTATTGCTAATCATGGACTTTTTATTACCATTCCAAAACATAAATTGTCATTTTGAGGAAAACTCGATTAAATTTTGCAAAATTCCTGCATATCGATAAATTTAAAAGTTGTGCTTGCAGCACCAACCATTCAACCAAAGTAATTATTGCAGAAATTAAAATAAAATTCCATTGTCATTTCCGTCCGAAATACGAAACTACAATTGGCTGAAAAAAAAATGAAATAAAAATAATATAATTCACAAGTGCCGCTTGATTAAGAAGCTTATAAGGTTTTTGAGCATTCAAATTTTTATATAAAACAAATTGTTGAACGTCGATATTGAAAAGTTTTCGTCTTCCACAAAAATTTCAATGAGATATTTGAACTAGAATTAATCAAAGTTATGTGACTCAGTTATTTTATTAAGAATATGACATTCCTCTTTTTCATTCATTTTACTCTTAATTTCATTTTTACCAAAACTGTATTTTTTATATAAGAGTATGATACTTAACTCATGCTGTATTATTACATAATTATCAATTATTTTTAAAAACTTATCAAAAGAAGAAAAATTGATATTTTTTTGGTGAAATTTCGAAAGTCTAGCTTGATTTAGAGTTCACCGAAAAATGCATTTTTGTCTTTTATTTTTTGATCATATGTAACTTTATAAGATCTATAGCCTTAATCGTAAATTTAGATACTGAAAACAATTTGTAATAAAGAAAAAAACATTTTATTTAGTATTTTAATACAAAATTCATTGGAACTAATAAAGTATTGCCTTACAGATCTTTGTGATGGACATGATTAATACAGATAAACTCTGGACTAGGTTTCAACTGTGTTATTAATTAAAGTATTTGACTAAAATATTCATACACCAACTTTGAACTATCTTACAAAAGCTAATCATGAAACAAACTTACTACAAATCTCATGTAAAATACTTTCAATGTCCCTTAAACCATCATTTTCAATCAACAGGTCCCACTCATTCCAATCATCTAAATCACATTCAGACTGGATATCATCAACACCAGATTCAAAATTCCATCCTCGATTCTCTCTTACACAATCTTGACATTTAATTCTTATTAATTTAACTTTAGTTCCGAAAGTTTCACAAAACCATTTAATGTCTGTTTTTCGTCGGATGTCTGAAACTATTACAGTCTCTTTTGATACACTCTTTGAAGCTTCACGACAAAAAACACCATAATCTTTAGCTCTCATTTCATCACTCCAAATTATCATTTCTTTCCTGTATTTCTCCTTGTAGGCACCGTCACTTAAAAGTTGTTTAAGATCAAGACTTTTTTCTTTTGCCCAAAATGATTTGATTGGTTCCGATATTCGAATTATTTCAGCATTCTCAATGCCAAGCCTTTGAAGAACATTTTTTTGGTGAAAGTTCAATGACATAAAAAGAATGAAGGAAATGCAGTTAACTTACTTTATCAACAGCTTATCTGTAATGTAATCTTTCCCACTTTTTCGTTTGCCACTAAACAATAAGATTCTTTTGACACTGTCATGCTTGACATCCATTGTAAATTAATAGTTTTGACAGGAAGATAAAGCTTTACAATCTAATATAACAAAAATTATGATTTGATGACCTTGATGATTTCTGTTTTAAGATGATACCTGGTCAATGATATATGCTTGTTTTCATATATTTTCAAAAATTCAGAGCTCGAAGTTGACTCCAAAAATGAATCTACTTAATAGAAACAACTCGACTTCTGATTTCAAATTAACAGAACAGACTATCAAGCAGAGCAAAAGAGAATTTCTAATTATTCAACTTGATCTTTTGATTTATATTTAAACATTTTTCAAAAACTATAAACATTTTCAAGAAGTTATAATTGTTGCATGACATAACTGGACATAACAAAATATAACATATAAGACATGAATCATTCTTAACTAGACAACACTGAAATACGCGAAAAAAGTACACGATATGACTCATAATAATGTAAATCCTCTTATTTTTTATTTATTAGGAATCTATAATACCACATTAAGTCCATTTTAATCCACAACAAGAAATAATAATTCATTAAAACCCAAAATCTACTTTTCCTCACACCACTGATTTTCTTTTTGGACAGCTTCCAACTCTTGTGGTGTCCAGTCATTTTCGATATTAAAAATCGTTCGAATCTCTTCAGGACTCTTTCCTTTAATCATATATGCAATTTTGCGTGTCGTCAACCATAATAATTGTGGAATTTCGAGATAGTTTGCTGCTGTGATCTGAAAATGTCAATTACTTTTAACTTGCATGTCAATCGAGAATGTGTTACATACCATGTCATATAGCTGATTCAGTTCAACTTCCAAAAATAATTCATCCCAATCATCGATCGTATCTGCTGTTTTATCCTTAATTTCCTCACTTGTTGGTTGTGCTTCATTTTTGTGATGTTCTAGCCATCGAATTACTTTCTCTAAAGTAATGGAATCAACATTATGGAGAGGAATTTCATCAATGTCAACACTTTCTAATGTTAGAAGCATTTCCTTCAATGTTCCACACATCTAGAATCAACAAAATTATTTATTTAAATCTAAGCCTGACAAGGCAATTTAGATTATTTACCTTAACACATTTTAAGGATGTTGTAAAACTATTTCCATCGGATGATCTTAGTTTTATCGTGCTGTCTGACATTTTTAAAATTATTAATGATCAACGAGCTATGACAAGTTTTATGAAATATAGAATATAACAAAAGTTAGCTTTAAGAGATATAGAGTATACTTAATTATACTTGTCAGTGGTGCTGTTCTGATATTTCAAAATCTCAATAAGTACGTTAAACTTATTTTAAGTTATGAATTTGAAATGTTTTGTGATTTTAAAGAAACTCAAAAGATGTAGAAACTATAGAAACGGTTGTAAACAAAACCAACTGAAATTAAACCGTACCCAATATTTCAGGAACAACCAAAATTAAGATTTTTAAACCTTTAGACTTTTATCAATTTGAAAGTTTGGTGTAAAATGTAAGTGTGCCATGAAGTGAATAAAATTCAAATAAAAAAAAACATCATACAACACACTCTTTTAAATTTTTCCAGCTATAGCGAGCTTCAGGTGGCATACAACGAAGGCAATGGATCACACTTGATCTTAACAGTTATCAAAGTAAGTACAAGTAATTTAAATGTTTATAAGTCGTGATGATTTAAATCTTTTTACCTTAATATTAATTGAAAAGTCATTTATTTTGTTGCCACTGTATGTTGTTCAGATTTTATTTGTTGATAAGTAAGTTTATAAGTTTTACAATATTGATTAATATTTTAGCATCAAACACTTTTAAAAGTGTTGTCATAAACAAATATTAACTTGTTTTGATGTTCTCAAAAAAATATAAACTTTTTATGGCAAACATCATTACTTTTAAAGGTGCACACTGAGGCTTATTATAAATCTAAAATAATAATTTTGTTGTTAAGAAATTAAGCACGAATACAACTAACGCTAATGATTAAAATATATTTTGTGAATAAGGTTGGAAATTGTTTTGCAAAAACCAGTAGAAATTTGAAAATATATATAGAGATATATACCATAATAAATTGTTACCAAATATTAAAAGCATTTTGTTTGTTTCAAAAACAAAGATAGTTATAATGAAGTCAGAAGAAGAAAAGATAAAACTTAATTAATTATTAAAGAAATTAACATATGTAAAAATTATATTGATAAAGGAAATATATGACAAAATATTTAAATGAATCCACGAGCTTTGAAAAGGTCTCGCAACAAGCTTTTCAGGTATTTAACTTCGCGCTTTGTATCTTTATATGTTGTTGACAACTTGCGATTTTTGTCCATCAAAATTCTTTCTTCGTCCATTATGACTTCAACTTCTTGCTTCTTCTTTATACGATAACGAGTTGCAGCATTTTTGTTTTGTTCCTTCTTTCGTGATTTCTTCTCATCAGGATGACGTCCATAGCCTCGTGGACGTTTCTTTGATACGCCACGTAAGCCACTTGATTTTTTGACGGGCTCATCATCAAATTGTGAATAACCACTGCTTGAATCCTCACTACGTGGTGACCATGCTGAAGAAGATGCAGATGCATTGTCATCATAATCAGAATTTTGAAGTGAATGGGCGCGAACTAATTCGTCTACAACTTCAAGCTCTCGCTGGATGTCAGTTGGAGATGAAATTATACTTTCTGGATCAAAAACGATTTCATGGCAAGTAACTTCCTCATTTGAAATCATTGATTGATTAGTGTTTTCATAAAAGACTGTAATATCATTTGGCAATGATTCATTTTGAAGATAGACGAATTGATTTTCTGATTGTGGTTGCTGTTGTTGATAGCTAAAGATTGGATATTGTTCTGGTGCTGGAATGTTGTTTGTATTAATTTGTTGAATTTCTTGCAGTCCTGAAAGATGGTGATAAGGCGGAGTTTGAGGTGGAGTTAATTGATTTTGTATTTCTACTTCTTCCAAAATGGAATTGAATTCCATCAAGAGTTGCTCGTTTTTGATATTTCCGAGATTAAGGGTTTCCTCAATTATATCATCGGCATTTTCAATCGATGCAACAAAATCGTCAATTGGAAGATCGATCTTGTTTGATAATGATTGAAATTCTATATTTTAAATATAAAATGGGGAAAATTTATGGTTATAAACATGTCTAAGGGATTTTATATTATCACTAAGCATGTATAATGCAAGACTATAAGTTCAAAAGGGTCATTAAGATGCGATAATTTTTCACATGTTCAGGTTTTTTAGAATAAATTCAATTTTAGAGCATAACAGCATACTTGCAAAAGGATTATAGTCACGTTTAATAATAGTAAAGTCGTTAATCCACAATAAATGCAGTTTTTCATTGAAATTAGAACATTAGAGCTGTGTAAGGTCTTGCAATCAAGGAAATTGACACAGTAAACACAATTATTTATTATTTTCATCTTATTGATGAGGGAAATAAAGAATTTCATTTCTTTGAAAGCTTTATCAATTCAATAATGTAAATTAATAAAAAAATAAATATTGAAATGTGGGACAGATTATGTGTGGGTTCAGTGCATCAGACAATCAATGAAACGACGTCCCCATTTAGATATGATAAGATTCTTTGTTCTAATATGATTTTCTAAACTCCTTAATTGCATAATATCATCATTTGTTGACAAGCTAGAGAGCATATTTAACTTTCACTTAAAAGATCACGATAATGAGATCCAAAGGTCCATATCGAAAAGCATTTCATGAAAACACAAAAATATTTCAAAGAAAAACAAAAAATCGATTATCAACATTAATTTATGGCGTGATTTGTTGTCAATGGATCTCTCCTCGAATAGCTTGTATAATTGCCCGACAACTCTGTTACAGAAAAACAAATTCTAAATAGATATTTGAAAATTTTCTTAGTCTCCATTTCAATTAGATATTATGTGCATAATTATAATTTCATTTAAATGTTTTTTTAAAATAATAATTTATTAACGTGAGAAACCTGTTTCATATTTGTTTGTTTGCGAAGATTTGAAAAATATATTCCAGAAAAGTATAAGAAGCATTTAATATGGAAATGTTGAAAAGTGAGAACATAGGATATTCATATTTGTAACTTTGAATTCAAATCGTATTCAATTCCAAGGACATTTTGATTTCATTCAACATTCTCCTTACCATTATATCCATAAACTGCGCGATTACGGTAAAATTGATCTATCGTCAACATTGTTGTGGGGAATTTTCTTTTTTTTTTCGATGCGAAATTTTTTAAATGAAGGAATTAAAATTGGAATCACAATTTATTTGGTGGTGATAGATTAGCTTTTTTCATTAATTGAGTATTAAAGTTTTTGTTTTTTAAATTGAAAGTTCAGATGAGAAAAAGTTTTTTTTTTATGATCACAAATATATCAAATCACAGTTTTCTTTATTTGATTCTAATCTATTTTAATTTTTAAGAAAAAATTCTGTTCCTAGAATTTTTAAAAATTGACCCTTCTTTCTCATATGCGCCTTTTAACAAGTTTTTGTGAGTTGAAGACGATATCTCGATTCCAGGTAAAGCAATAAGCAAATAATGCCACCATGCTCACGAGTCTCATTGAAACAATTATAAATTTTCCACTTTTCACATCAATATGAATATTATCACACAAAAAAAAATATTGTGGCAATGTGCCGTTTCCACGAATGAAATTTTATATACTTGAAAAACGAGTTTCGACAAATTTATATTAAAAAAGTTATTATCGAAAGAATACTTCTTTTAATTATTTTATTATTTTTACAAAAGTATTTTCCTTTCTTGGCGAGAAAAAGGTTCGCAAAATTTTATATAATGTAATAATAATTGAATCTCTTGATACGCGATTAAGCATTAACAGCTCGATCTGAGCTAATGAACGTCTCGAAATAAACTGACGAGAAAAACATTTTTTTTCCACAAGCTAACTTGCCTTGCTCAACAATTTTTCGTTTCTCTCACAAGCTCAAGCTTTCTCAATTAAGCTCAGATTGAATTTGCATTCAAAAAAAGCGCAAAATTTAATGATAAGGAAATGAAGACTAGTCATGAGAACTTTTACAGGTGTTTATATGATAAATTGTAGTCCTTTAAAAGCTCGCAATAGTTGCCAAGTTATGAATTGAAGGTCGATCGCTTGAAGTTGTTGGCAATATGAAATCTTGCATGGAAAATGTATTACAAGACTGACTAGATAAAGACATGTAGTGTTCATTAGTGTATAATTCTAAGAATCGCAAAATGTTCAATAATTGTTAGATCTTTAACTCATTTTGAGTACAAGGAAGACAAGTTTTTTTTTGTCGATTGACTTCAAAAATTATTATTATTGCATACGTTTCAGGAGATAATGCTTACCGTCAAGATATGATTTCTCGTCGCGTTCCATTTCTGCAAAAAGATCAATGCCAGTGGATTCATCAACGTATTTCATATAAATTTCTAGAAGTACAATTATACATTATTGGTTTTGTGGACATGAAGTAATAAGCTTTTGAACTGACCATTAGCGAAGTTGTCTTCGAATATAATTTCCTCAGTGGGAGTAGTCAAAGGTGTTGGTTGACCAAACACCATTTGCTCGAATATTAGAGAGGACTCCATCTTTTTCGTTGTTATTATCTAGTTCTGAGAGATGTCCAAGATTGTTGTTTGATATCCGATCGGTAGATTTTGTATTTGTGTAGTAATTGGAGTCGTTTGAAAAACTTTCTTCGTTTTGTGTAAAAGAAGCCATGGTGGCTGTAAAATTGGATCTGAAAAAAAAATGATAAGAAATAAGGAACGTTAGATTAAATCGTGAGATTTATTTTAATCCGCAACAGAAATCACCATCATTCATTTATAAACAACAACAAAGCAAGTAAAATTAATGACGTAAAGGTACTGCTGGAAAAGTTACTTTTATTGCGTCTTGAATATACCAAATGTACATAATGTCAATTAGCAACAAGAAAAACCTTTCTCTTGGTACAATGTACATAGCAAATACACACACATGTATTATTGCCATAAAGGTAGTCGATTGTTAAAATCGACGGCAGAAATGTAATCTATGCAATAAAGCTTGTCAGCACATTATGCTGATGAAGCCATTTTTAAATTTAGTTAATGTCTTGTGCATGCACTTAACGAGTGGATAGTCTCATTTTCGCGCTTATACGTCACTTTCAACATTATTGCGTCATCTTTTAATTCCCAGAATTTATTTACAAACATTTTCTAATTTAAATCCTAATTTCATAATATTGCTTAATTATTGAATTTTACTGATTCTGACGCTAGGAATAGGTTTTTTGATCACAGATTAGCACTCATTAGTGACCAATAAAACTTTTCCAGCCATATTTTTTGCTGTACTACATTGAAAAATTTTTTATGACTTTTTTGTTAATTATAGTGAAAAATTTATACTTACTTCATTCGCATGATTAATAATTTGTGTAACTTAGCCCTAAGGCAAACTTTATGAGCAACTAGGCGCACATTTTAACAATTTTACAAAATTTTTCAAAAATAATTAACTCTTTTTCTTCGCTTCATTAGGGGAAAGTGACTTCTTAGCCTGTTTTTAACGATTCAAGTCTGATGATTTCTTTGTCAATCGTGTCTGACTGTCTGTTTAATTTTATTGAATTTTCTACTTTTATGTTGTTTACTAATTATTTGTTTATATCCAAAAAAGCTGAATTAATGTAAAACAAATTCAATGCATTAAGAAAATATGCGCTAAAGGAATTAAGTAAAGGTGACTCGTTACTTGTTTTTCGCATCTTTCCCAACTTTTTGAATCCCAAAATCCGAAGGAAAAAAGCTACGATCGTTCTTTTTCCGTGAAATTTCAAAACGTGAGTACTTCGAAAATTAATTATTTTAATTTTTTAAGTGTTTCCAGCCCGATTTAATATAATTAATTAATGTGAATTGACTCTTTTAGCATGGCTCCAACAGCAAAAGCGGTTGCTAAGGACAAAAAACTACCAGCTGTTCCAGAATCAAAATTGAAAGATGGAAAACGTCGTTTAGCTACTCGAGGAAAATTGATTCTTCGTAAGCGCATTATTAAATCGAAAGTGGCTTTACGTCGTCGACAGAATCTTGATCGTGCTGAAAGATATACACGTACATACCTTAAATTGCAAAAGGATGTCATTGAAAAGGCAAGAGAAGCTAAGAAAGCTGGAAATATTTACATCCCTGCCTACCCAAAAGTAGCTTTTGTCGTCCGTATTCGTGGGTAAGTTCTCATTTTTAAAGCATTTTATTAAGTTAAATACAAAGTTTAGACGTATTGTCACTAGAATATGTCAAATAATCATCAAAATATCGTTTAATTAAGTTATTTTGCAATTTAAAATTGGAGGTTATGTTAAATGTTTTTGTGTACAATTTCTACTTCCAGTATCAACAAAGTGGCCCCAAAAGTCAAGAAAGTTCTCCGATTACTTCGCTTGCGTCAAATTGGCAATGCTTCATTCGTTAAGTTAAACAAGGCTTCACTCAATATGTTGCGTATTGCTCAGCCTTACATTACATACGGATATCCAACACTCAAAACTGTCCGCGACTTGATCTACAAAAGAGGATTTGTTAAGGTTTGTCATCATCATCTCATTCATTTAACATGATTAGCCTAATAGTGTCTTTAATTCTCATTTTTAGCATGCAGGAAAACGCATTCCAATCACCGACAATTTTGTAATTGAACGTAAATTGAAGAAGGGATACAACGTCCAGTGTGTTGAAGACATGGTATATCAAATCTACACTTGTGGTCGAGTCTTTAAGCAAGTAAACAACTTCCTCTGGCCATTCAAGCTTAACACACCAACGGGTGGATGGCGCAAGAAGAACAATCACTTTGTTGAAGGCGGAGATTTCGGTAATCGTGAAGACAAGATTAATGAACTTGTCCAAAGAATGATTTAAAACTAATTTTCCATCAGATTTCAATTTTGTTCTAAAGCATAAGATCCACATATTTCACAATGTGTTTTGTGTACAAGTGATACACATAAGATTATGAATAAATACGAAAAACAAAGAGTGAAGTATTTTAAAAGATTCAAAATTTATTCATTTTTAGCATTAAGGTAAATTTTAAGTACACTTGTTTATTATGGCTGCTTAAATATTTCAGAATAATCCGTTACATATCAAAAGCTTAATTGTCAATTATGAAGGTTGTTGAGGATGTTGATCATCAATCTCGTTTAAAGTTGAACTCTTTAGTTTTTCCTCTAACGTTGCGACTTTTATCTTATACTGATCTTTTAATATCTAAAATATGCAAAAACTTAATCATAAACTTATCATTTGGAATCTTCAAAAAATATAAAGTTACATTAAAGATCTCCTTTTGAGCTTTGTACTCTGCCTTTAAATCTGCATTCAATTGATCTGAAAGCTCCATTTTCTTCACCATTAAAGCTTTTCTATCCTTTTCAGCCTTAAACTTTGCATCCATTGCTTCCATTCTTTCTGTCAAGTCGCGAACTTCAACTTCTCTAATCAACAGCATATCTTTAGTCAATGCAATCACATCTTTCAATGATTCAATCTGAAAATTCACTCCTTATTAGAAATTAATCTCTTTAAAATTCTTTCTTAATTTACTTGTATATGCTGAGCCTCCGATCTTAGTTCCAGTGATTTTATACTTTTCTGTCTCTCAAAAAGAAGATCTTGTGCATTTTTGAGAACTATTAAAAATATTAGCAAATGATCTTATTCTGTTTTATATCCAAAAACTATCCACAATACCTTTATCATACTTTTCCTTAAAAGCTTCAATATTTTTCGATGATCCACTTGCTGCTTCCTTCAGCTCATCTAATTCCATTTTTTCAAGACGCTTCTGAATAACATCCTTCTCGTTTTGTAATTTTTGGAGATCATGCTCGAAAGTCTTTGCCTTTTCCTCACTATAATTGATCAATCGTTCATTCAATTTTCTCAAATTAGCAATTTGATTCTTATAATCTTCCTCTTTCTTCTCCCATTCTTCAATTGACATGGAATTAGAATTATTTAAATTATTTTCTTCTGCCATTTTTTTGGATGCTGACTAAACTTGTTCGAATAAATATGAAAAAGTGCTATAAATAGATATTTTCATGTTGGTTCGAGAGAGAAAAGCGGTACGATGAACATTCTCAAGAAAAGAAAATTGTGCATTTTGCTCACTTCTCACATTGTGTTTCATTGAATAATATTCGACATGCTTCTTAAATTTTGATAAGAACTTTCGTCAGCAACTATCAATGATTGAGATGTTTTAAAAACATCAAAATTTCCCCACATTCATTCAAAATCAATATTTAGAAAATAAATGCTCATCGCTATAGATTAATTATCAGTTTTAATCTAAACTACTGTGAACAAAGATTCTCGCTTGAAATGGATAGACAGCAATTTTTGACAATCGCATTTGCCTGGCTTAGCGCCTTGATTGCATCAGCAATGTCTGAAACACTATTGGATGATCAAGGACCTGTTTGCAATGACTGTAAAGTTGGATAAATGTTTTGGTTCTCAAATTGAAAAATGGTTCTGGAATTGAAGAAAGATTTTGGAATAAAAAAATGGTTCTAAAATTGATAAAAAGTTAATAAAGTTTATTGAACTATGAGACTATAAAAGCAACAACTGTTGTATCATCATTTTTACCATTATAAACCGTAAAGTTTAAAATTTGCAGAGCATTAACTTCATCACTAAAAGGCGTCGCTACTTCATTCTCAATCTCACCAATGCGTTTTGCAATAATTGTCAACTTCTTAGCAATTCTTCTTGCAGCTTCAGAATATCCTTTTTGAATTTTTGGACTTAGATATTTAACTTCCTTATTCACATAATACAGAATAGCTTCATCATAAAGATTATCAAAAAGACCATCACTTCCGATAATTATTACATCATTTACTCTTAATTTAAAAGGTCGAATAAAGCCATCAAATGGTGAATTTGAATGCTCAGTCATAAAAGCTAGTTGAAAAGGAAAATTAAATCCATGAAGTAAATCTTTGCTTCGATAAACAATTCGATTATTTCTTATAATCATAAACCCAGAATCACCAAGCACATAAGAATTTAAATGAAGTGTTTTAAGATTTAATGATAAAGCAACTAATGTGCAACTTCCTAATCTTATAAATTTTTTCGTTCTTTGAACATTGTCATATGCTTTACTAATGATGTAAAGCAAGAATGAAACTTTCCTCTTATCATGCTCTGTAATTGTTGAGTTATTCAGTAGTTTAAATTGTATATTGATGCTTTTCAGCAGTTCTCTTGTGAAAATTTTTGGATTTACTCCATATTGAACCCAACTTCCAACGCCATCAGCAAGTGTAAATAAATTAATATCTTCTCTTTGACTTATTGAAAAATCATCTTCTCCACATTCGTTTCCATTAATCCTTAAAGGGATGTTGTTGTTTTCGGATGCATTAAAATTTGTTGCCAAAAAGGTTTTCGAAAAGCATGCTGCTCCTTTATGTAAAGTATTAGATGAACTTAATTTTGAAACTATCGGAAGAAATAAGAACAAATTTAAAATCAGATTTTAAGGAATAATTAATTCAAAAGACAATTACATAAGGAAGTGATTAACAACAAAAATATAGTCAAATTTAATTCTGACATTCCCAAAAGTATTTAAATATATTAATGGATCCACAATCAAACTTTGAGAATTAATAAATTTCTTTGGGCCGTTCATTTATTAAGTTACGCAATGTGAAAAATTCAACACCCCCCCCCCTCCTCTTGTACTCACTCGTTCAAAATTTTCTACCAACACTTTGCTTGATTTGTTGTAAATGCCCCCTCTCCCCCCAAAAAGGTAAACGTAATAAGTGAACGAACCCATTCCCTGACACCTTATTTATTTACTCAATAAGATGAGATCGATATTGCCTCAATACATCTGTCACGTCTCGTTATTAAACAGCATAAGAGATCTATCACATGCGATAGTGAGCGTCAATTAAATTGAGAATCAAGTAAAACTTAAAGTACTCAGTTTTGAGAGAAGAGTCGCACAGAGATCAAATTAAAAAATTTCGTCAACGATGCATGCATTTGTGATCAGTGCGTTGTGGAAAGAGAATGAAAGTCTTGTTTATTAAGTTTATTTTATTACAATTATTCATTGACTTTTCTGAAGAATTCAGTTATGAGCTTGAAAGTAGGCTCTTGTTTGAGCTTGATAGTGGATGTAAAAATGTTGATATTCGATTTGACTACCGGTATTTTGAAAACTTAAATAATTGCAAAACAGTTCATGGATACTTGAGGATTTCTGATATGGATATACCTTTAAATATTTCTTTAAGTTTTGATCTAGTTGAAATTACTGGATATATGTTAATTGAAAATATCAGTGGATTAAAAACATTAGGAACTTTATTTCCAAAACTCTCAGTTTTGAGAGGAGAAATTCTTCATCATGGCTTCGCATTACTGATAACAAATAATAAAGACCTTGAAAATATTGGCTTCAGTTTAATGACATATATTGGAAATGGGAATGTCCTCATTCAAAATAATCCCAAATTATGTTATATAGAAAGTGTCGATTGGATGGAATTGAGAAAAGGATTGAATGTCACTAAAGGGGTAATATTGAACACACAATCTTGGTGAAGAAACTGATGGTTTTACTTATAGCATTTTAGAATAATAATCAAAACTGTAGTGAATCATGTATAAAGTGCTGGGCTGATGATATTCCACAGAATATTTGTGAAGATTGTGAGTCATGCTTAATCAGTGATCAAAGTAAATGTTGTGATCCTCAATGCATTGGAGGTTGCAGAAATAGTTCAATCGATTGCATAGCTTGTAAAAATTATAAACATACAGTTGAAAATGTTACAGCATGTTCTGAATATGAGCCATTAACTTTCAAAGTGAGTATTTAGGATTAGAATCAATCAAATCCACTTATTAACAATCAATCTAATCGTCAGCTAGAAAACTACTTCCTAATTGATGGATTAACATGTGATGCTATGGATAGGATTCAATTGGATGGTGAATGTTTGAGAAAAGATGAATGTCCAATTTATGAAAAGCATTTTCTTATTGATGAACAATGCACGTTTTGTCATAACTGTTCGAAAAGCTGTTCAATCAAATTAAATAACATTAATGATTTAAAGAACATATCAGAATGCAACTTAGCAGAAACCTTTCAAATTGAAAATTTAGAAGATAGTTTTGATGAGGATATTAAGGAACTATTGACTGACAAATTTCAAACTATTGCAGAAATTGAAAGCTGCTTAATCATTAGAAATTCATCAGGAATCACAAATTTTAATTTTTTAAAAATGCTGAGAAGAATTTCTGGAAATATTGAGGACCCAGATTGTTTTATCAATGAAATTCCATATTCTGTTATTATTGAAGACAATGATAATCTACAAGAAGGGTTTCGTTATGATTTTGAAGTGATTGTACGCAATGGAGTGTATATAAGAAATAATAGGAATCTTTGTCAAACTGATGTTCGAACATTAGCAAAGACATTTAAATCATTCAACTTTGATTCTTTCAACAGATTACAAACAGAAGACTGCAATCATCCAAAGATTAATATTCAAACGTTTTCTAAAGATGATTCCATTTTATTGTTGACGGATTTAATAAAATCAAAAAACAAAATTCAGATTCGTTTTTGGGAAGATGACATTGAGGAAGTTACGGAGTATGATATGACTTTTAAAGTTAAAACATAAATTTTAAACCATATCTTTACAGATTAAGTGAAAGTTTCTACGAGATCGATAACCTTGAGTCTAACAAGACGTATCCTTTTAAAATAGACATAGTTGATGAAGACGATCAAATTAATTACAGCACAAATTATCAATTCTTTCAAACGTCAAAATTTGATGAAATAATTACAAACTGGGAATCAACAAGTACTTCAGATAGCATTACTATTACTTGGGAATCAGCAACATCCTTTTCAAACTTTCATGCTCAAAACAAATTTGGAAACTTTTTCTACATAACATATAAAAGCTTGAACACAAAATTTTGCGATGATACAGCATTCGAAGAAGTTTTAGAAAATGAATTGCAAGTAGAAAGCACACGAAAATTTGGAAATTACTTCTTTAACAATCCAATAAATGAAAATGCTGATTTCAAGACTTTAGATCATAAAATTGTAGATGGAACAAAAAACTTTATCAATATAACAGATTTAGAGAATTCAACTTGCTATCGATTCGACATTTATCCATGCAGGCAAACGAACATTTTAATGTGCAACGCACAGGTTATACATTTGGAAGCAACTTTAACACCAACAACTCAAGAAGAATCAAAATCACCATCAAACTTTATTGGATTTTCGATATTTGGGGTTTCAATAATTGTTTTAATAATCTTTTTGTTCTATAAATTTGGTCTAAGGCCAATTAAGAATTCCGAAACACACATAGAGCTTGTGAATCAAGGAGGCGTAATTGATGTTGATCAGTGGGAGCTTGAAAGAGAACATATTGTTCAAATAAAAGTTTTAGGTAATTTGACTCACAACATGTGCTCATAATACTGATATCTCACAACATTTATGAATTCATTAGGAAGTGGCGAATTTGGGGTTGTTTACAAAGGATACATAAGACCAAATGAAGAAAAGTTTTATGCCATTAAGACTTTAGCACCATTTAAAGAAGCTTTTGAGGACAATTTCAAAAAGGAGGCACAAATCATGCGAAGATTTAATGCACCTCATGTAGTAAAGCTGATTGGATACTGTACAAAAGAAAGGCCTTTGTTAGTGGTTATGGAATATATGATGCATGGTGATTTAAAAAAGTTTTTGCAACGAAATCGTCCAATTGAGATTCATGACAAAAGTGATGTTCCTACTCAAAAAGGAAGCTACACAACGGTTGCTAAAGCAGTTTTACATCCAATAAGACCTGTTCATCAAATGGCAATTGAAATAGCTGACGGAATGCTATATCTTGAAGATATTAAGTTTATTCACTGTGACTTGGCCTGTCGTAATTTGATGGTGAACGAGAACTATACTATTAAGATAGGAGGTGCTAATTTTCAATTTTTATATTTAATGATTGAATTTTAAATTAAAATCTTTAAGATTTCGGAATGGCAAGAGAACTTTATCATACAGATTACTACAAACCAGGAAGTCGAAATAAGAAAATACCTTTAAGATGGATGGCTCCAGAAGCTTTGGGAACAGACGAGATACTTCCACGATACACAAGCAAATCAGATGTCTTTAGCTATGGTATCGTGCTTTTTGAACTTGTGACTTTCTGTGATACACCATATGCAGTAATTATAATAGTGATTAACTCTTTGAATAATTTATGAAAGAACATTTCTTACTTTCAGGGTTGTCTTGATGAAGAAGTCATAGTATTTATAAAAGCAGGAAGAATATTAGATCAACCAAAAGATTGTAACGATAACATTTACGAACTTATGAAAAGATGCTGGCGTTTTGATCCAAATGAAAGGATTGATTTTAGAGAAGTGATTAAATATCTGCTTGACAATTTTGACATTCCAAACTTCAGTAATTCATCATATTATCACACACATGAATTGGGTAATGAGTAAGTTCCTTCTTCATTTTGGTCTAATGCCTCTTTTACGACATCGATTGCAACAACATCCACAACACCAAACTGGCAATATCAGAGCCATTATTAATACGAACAATAGAAAGGAACAAACTAGGAACAAAGTAAGGATTAGAAATTTTATTATTTTACAAATTAAATTTAAAATTACGTGTTGCGATGTTGGCTGGATTTTTAATTTCTTCCTTGAAATTTATTATAAAGTCGGGTGTCATCTATGACTTTTTGTTAAGCACTAACGAATAAATTGAGTTGTATAGATTAACAGTATATTTTGTTCTTCATCAAATATTTAAATAGGGCAATGCATGCAATTAGAGAAAAGTGTGAATGACTAAGGATTTGATTGGTTTATTACTGTTAATATATTGATTTTCACAGATAATTGCTTCTTTATGAATGGCCAATAGTTTAGCAAAACATTAAACAACGCAAACATAATGTTGAGGTATTATCCGAATATTTACCTAAAGATTATCCCCCATTTATAAATCATGGCAGTGCTTTAAATGATTGATGACATCTGTAAAATTTGATTATAATAATATTAATATTATCTTTATTACAAACTAACACAAAAATTAATGGATCTTGCACATAAAACGCTTTTATACAATTTAATCGAATCTCCTTTTATAAAAAGAAATGATCGTCATATTAGTTACAAAAAAAGACATAAAATTGGAAATTATCGAATCAAATTTTTTAAAATAGAACAGAACATTAAAAGTAAAAACGAATTAGTTTCGTCGCTTAATGGATATCTTTCCGCTACTTAATTGATGTAGGTAAATACGGAATTTGCTACCATCATTTGCTCTTTTAACCATAATCACTTCATTTCCTACAATGGCTGAAATGTTTGCAGAAAAGCGTGAAACATCAGTACCTTCAATATAAACGGCTTGTCCACGATGATACCATCTTCGTTCATACAGTAACTTTCCATCTTCAATTCTCGTCTCCACGGCATGTCCATCAATATTATAGCCCAACATTATGTTGTTGCTATTACCGACACTATTGTTCATCAATGTCGAATTTTGAGAGTAGTTTCTCATACTGTTGTTGTTATTACTATTATTATTATTATTAATTATAGATTTCCCTCTTGATATTAATTTGAGATCATATTCAATTTCCTTATCGTCAAGTTGAAACACCAGACTAGAAGCTGGGCCATTACCCATCTTACGTCTCTTTTCAGTAACAGGCACTGGATCATTTGGTCTTCTTCGAAGTTTACGAGTGATTGTTTGCCTCATCTCTCCAGATTCAATAATTTCCATACTTGTTCTTTCACTTTCAATCATCTTTTTCTTATCCTCAAAATCTGCTAAAAGATTTTCCTTGAGATCTGCTTTCTTCTCCTCATATTCTTTAACTGCTGCATTCTTCTCAAGTATATAGTCTTTCTCAACACATTCAATTAAATAGTCACGATAATAGCTGTTTAGTCTTAACCGATCATGATATTGACGTTCTAATTGTTTTAATCTACGAATTAATTCTGGATGAGTTCCTGCTTGTACTTCCTCTAATTGCTTTTTAAGATTTGCCAGCTTATCTTGATATATTCTACAATATAAATGATTTCTAAGCATTATAGTACGACTGTAAAATGTCATTGCATCATTACTTACTGTTCTTTAATCTCAACTGGTTCCTCTTGAATTTTGTGTGGCGGTTCTTCTGTTTCGGATGCATCTTCAGTATCTATGAATTTGCAAGTTATTGTTTAATACAAGTTTTAATGTGAATTAAAAGAAATTAAAGGAATCAAATGGAGTTTCACCACAAACAGATACAGAATGGAAAAAGTCATGCATCAAAAATAAAAAAAAATAGAGTCTCTACCTGTTCTAGAATTAGAACCTAAATAATAATAAAAAATCACAAAATTAGAAAACCGAAAATAAAGTGGAAATAATGAATAAAATAGTAGAAAAGTTAATTTATCGCAATTTTCAAAACAAAATAATAATACCTTCAGTTTCAGAGTCATTATTTTCGTAGTCTTCTTCCTTTATGTTCCTTGCTATCGCTTCCTCAAAGTCCTCATTGAAGTTAAGATCATCATGACGATTTATATGTGTCAAATAAGACATAACTTAAAGGATAATTACACTGTAATCAATAAAAATTCAATTTTTCTTTAACTGGCTTGATATTTCTTACTAAACACTAACACACACAACATTTAACTAGTAAACAAGTCGTCATTACAAGTGTCAACGAGTGAATTAAGCGCATTTTACCCACCTAGATTTATAATTCGGCAAATAAAGATCCAGTACGATTCAGAAACACAAGGATTTATGCATACAACATGTTCGGTTTAAAGGTTTTTTGAGGTTTTTAATAGACAATGGACAGCCAGTTAAAGTAAACATTCTAATGCATGGTTTTTCAAAAACTGCTAAAAACTTGTAAAGATGCCTTCAAAATATGCATTGTTTTGATTTAGTAGCTTGCCCACTTTTTGTGACATCATTTAACATTTTTGGTTTTGATAGAAAATTAAAGGAAATTCACTGAAATATTATGAGTGAAAGTCGTGAACAAGTCCAGGAACAGATTAAAGTCCAAGGAGAAGTAGTCCGCAAATTAAAAGCAGCCAAGGAAGCAAAAGAAAAGGTATGAATTAAATCCAGATTTAGTGCTTCAAAAACGTGCGAAACCAGACATAGATTAAGCTTTAATTGAGTAATACTAAGCACCTCACAGTTCTAAGTAGCTAGAATTATAAACAAATAAGGATATAAGCTTTAAATTATCATAAAATACACTATCGACGTGGCTGATTATTTAAAGCTTAAAATGTGTGTGAAAGCATAGAAATTGGAAAGTGCTATGCTCTACAAAATAGACATTTGTGTAATTGTGTCTGATTCATGTTGCAATTTATTTTTTCTTTCAAAAATTACCTCACGACGATAAATAAGATCCAGTAGAAAGCATAAAATAGAGAAAGGGATGTTGAAACGGTTGTTTCCTTTAGTATTAAGAAGTAGACGTCAAACTCTTCACGTTTGTCGGCAATGTTCAAATGGTGTTCTTCGGGAACCAAATAGTGATATTAGAAAAAATATTTTGCAGGTCAGATACCTTTAATAATCAGCATGTTGTTTAAAAATTTGATGTTCTTTATTCTTTACAGATCGATGAAGAAGTAGCAAAGTTGTTAAAGTTGAAAGCTAAATTAAGCGACAATGAGTCAGCAACGCCTCAAAAGTTCACTCTTAAAACTCCAAAAGGCACTAGAGATTATAATCCTGACCAAATGTCACTTCGTTTGTCAGTCCTTAATAAGGTAATTGAAGTTTTTAAGAAGCACGGTGCAGATACAATAGATACTCCAGTTTTTGAGTTAAAGGAAGTTTTGACTGGAAAATATGGTGAAGATTCTAAACTAATTTATGATCTTAAGGATCAAGGCGGTGAAATTCTTTCAATGCGCTATGACTTAACAGTTCCACTAGCTCGTTATATTGCTATGAATAAAGTCTCGAGCATTAAACGATATCATATTGCAAAAGTTTATAGACGTGATAATCCAGCAATGACAAAAGGACGATACCGTGAATTCTATCAATGCGATTTTGATATTGCTGGAACTTATGATCCTATGTTGCCTGATGCTGAATGTGTTAAGGTTGTTTCAGAAATTCTTTCATCTTTAAATATTGGTGACTTTGTTGTAAAATTAAATCATCGTAAATTGCTTGATGGCATGTTTGAAGCATGTGATGTTCCACAAGATAAATTTAGAACAATCTGTTCAGCCGTCGATAAATTAGATAAAGTATCTTGGGCTGATGTAAAGAAAGAAATGATTGATGAGAAAGGTCTTGACGAAAAGTCTGCAGATAAAATTGGAGAATATGTTCGTTTGAGTGGCGGTGAAGAGCTTGTCGAAAAGTTGTTGAATGATGAAAAGCTTAAAAATGTTAAATCAGCAGTTCAAGGTCTTGAAGATATGAAATTACTATTGAAATATTGCAACATTTTTGGAATCAAGAATCAAGTAAGATTTGATTTGAGCTTAGCTAGAGGTCTTGATTATTACACGGGAGTGATTTATGAAGCCGTTTTATTAGGAGATGAAAAAGATAGAAAGAAAGGAGAAGAGACAATTGGATCTGTTGCAGGTGGCGGTAGATATGATAATCTTGTTGGTATGTTTGATACAAAAGGCAAACAAGTTCCATGTGTTGGAGTTTCGATTGGTGTTGAAAGAGTTTTTGCAATTTTGGAATCAAAAAATGCCGCGAGTAAGACAAAAATACGTTCAAGTGAGATTCAAGTTTATGTAGCTTCGGCTCATAAAGGCTTACAAGAAAAACGTCTAGAACTTCTCTCAAAATTATGGGATGGTGGAATTAAAGCTGAACATTCTTATAAATCAAATCCCAAGTTACTTGTCCAACTTCAATATTGCGAAGAACAACAAATTCCTTTTGCTTTGGTCCTTGGTGATAGTGAGCTTGAACGAGGCATTGTGAAATTTCGAGATGTTTTGACAAGAAAGGAGCAAGAACTTCCAATTGATAATTTAGTAGAAGCCATTAAATGGAACTTAAGTAATAAAGGATACTAATTTATTATATCACAGCATCATTTGTCCTTTTTTGATATGAAATAAAAAGCATTAACAGCACAACATTATTTTGTTCTTATTTTAATTTTTCAGTTTCAACTTCTCTAACGGCTTAATTAAGATGAAAACTATTTTAAGTGAAATAATTTATGCATCACTGAGTTGTCAGCAAGCCCATTGAACTTGCCCAAAAAAAAACATGCGGACATTTATCATGCAATTTAAATTGTGTCTAGCTCAAGGTTGAAATTTAAACAATTAACAATTGTCACTTAATCCATTGAATCGTGTAATAATTAACAATTCTATGTTGAGAACTTTTTTTTTGTTTTGTAAGGAAGATTGCATAAAATTTCAAATTATCACATGCCTCCGTCTAGATTTACAGTAACATATTAATACCTTTTTGTGCCTTAAAAATTTCTCATAAAAAAGAACAATCTGGAAATCAATTAAATTTGCAAGTCAGGAATATACAATAAACAATTCAATCAATTTAGTTCCAGTTTAGTGGTAGACTCAAACGCACAAAGCATCAAATGTCTCAGAGAGTGACTAGGCAAATAATTACCAAAGACAAAGAAATTCGTCAATTCTTTAAAATCTGAGGAAAAACTTTTGCAAATACTCGATGATGACGAATAAAATCCATTTGATTGTTACATTAAAGCGTGAATTCGATTCGTAAGACACCCACCAAGAATTAATCTTAAATTATAGGAAGTATAAAAATCCAAGAACATTAATGAATATTCAGTTAGTAAGATTCAGTACTTTGATGGTGACGGTTCCGAAGATATTAAAATGAGTGGCTTAAAGTTCTTTTCAATTTTGATTTTTGTGATATTTTTGAATATTCAGTGCTCATTTACGCAGCCTTATGCAAATGATTATCCTTACAAAAAGTATGCTTACCAGATTGAAGGATCTGCAGGTGGTTCTGATGGATCCCGGTATTATAAAAATAATCTAAGAGATCGAGATGGTCGATTAAAGGCAAATGCAGACATAGGATCAAGCTTTAATTTGGATGCTGATAAAAATGAGCATGATTTGAATCAACTAAAACGTGGAGGATCAACTGACAATTTGACACATGTTCAAGGAGAAGATTTTGAAACTGATAAAAGTCACAAAAGGAAGCACATAAAATCAGGCTTCCAAAACTCATACCACAAAGATGAAAATGGATCTAGAACATCATATTATGAAGATTCCGATGATACAGGAGGAAAAGTCATTTATGACAAAAGACATGGACAACGTGGAGACAATCAAGAGTCTCAATTTAATGAAGGACTTCGTAATGGAGTTACAAGAGATCGATATGATGACAGAAAAATTGGATTTGATAATAGAGATTTACAAGATCAGCATCGATACCTTCAAGAAGAAAATGGTAAGTAAATACAGGCACTAAAGTTATTTATAGCTTTAAATTACATTATTTTTTTGAAGGAAAACAACATGGATATGTTGACAATTTCAAGGGTGGAGTAGATAATCAATTTGAAATTGTTAGAAGACCTTACTCGGATCATTATCGTCACACACCACCTTCAAGATTGAGAGATGTGGACGATTATGATCGATATAATCCATCCAATCATTGGGTAACTTATCAATCATGTCATTAAAATTATCTTCAAGATTTAATGTTTGAATATTTATCTAGGGCTATAACAGCAGACTCCCAACAACTCCAAATTTACAGTCTGATCCATCTCCTTCGAGAGATGTTTTTACAAGACGTAAAATAACAATTTATGAAGATCCACGTGATGAATATGTTGATCCAAAAGTCGATCGTTTTCGTGACAATGGCAATTACATGACAAGAAGTGAAATCACAAGAAGATTTGATTACGGACCAGCTGAAAGAACTCCGTTTAGGACACGCTATCGTGGCTTATGAGTAGAAGTTGTGAGAGAATCTTTTAGATTTTATCTTGACGATTTACTGTCTTATTTTTAAAATTGATTAACTATAACAATAAGCTAAGTATGAAACTTACTTCCCACATTTTCAATAATATTAAAACCATAAGTACATTATTTAAATTATCACGAGTTACTAGAACTTAGAATATCAAACTATTTATTTATTTAAAATTAAAAGAAAAGCATGAATAAAATGTTTTTAAAGCTTTATCCGAAAACATCAGTGAAACATTCATTAAATTTAGACTAAAACATCAAACATTAAAGGAAGAAAAAAATATATTTTCAAGAGGGTTGTCCAATAAAAACTAATCATGAATGAGTAAACAAAAAAATGCTCTTTATGTGATTTCCTAGCCCGTAGCAATCAGCTCTTCTGCTTTAATTTCCTTTAATAGTAAAAACCCTTCACAATAAATTTAATCAAATCAAAATAATATAAATTGCAAGATGCACCAAATTGTTTGTAAAGAGGGTTTTGGATGAATTGTTTTAAAAATTTACAATATTTGATTAAGGAATTTAACATCCTTTAAATGCTTTATATCATTTTTTGAGATAAAAGGTTTAAAATGTCTCGCATTGAATACTCCAATTTATTGCTTCTTCATGTACTTTTTTAAGTACCTTCAACTAATAAGTCATTAAAAAAAAGTCTATTGTCAATTAAGTAACATGAAAACTTCACTTAACACCTTCATGTATCGGACTGTAAAAATAAATTCTAAGCAATTATGAAATGATAGTAAGTAATAAAATATTCATTTGTTTGCTATCGTACGTTTCATTGCTACAAACATCACGAAGATACACAACATGTGTGATAATAAAACTTGAATTATTACCTTTGCATGATGCGAATTATTACTTACCAGCTAGTATAAATGCCAATAGTCATAAAAAAATTCATTATAAATCTTTGCCAGTATAAATATTCAAGTGTCGTGGCACATTAGGTGTTTGACATAAATTTGCTGTTATAATTTACAGTCTTTTTTACAGTAGCTTCTCATTTCATAAAATTAATTGCTTTTTGTAGGCAATTATGGATGTGATTGTGTATGCGATACATTTTGGGGTTATTAATGGCTCTTTTGGAATGGTCAACAAATCCTTTCTCTTGCCTTATTTAATAGATATTGTTGCATTTCCCTTTCCTATTTTTTATTCTGTCCGGAACAACATTTTTTTTTACTGCTCTTTCTGTTTATTTTGTAAAATTTATTATCCTGAACATTTTTTGCTATATTTCTTGTTCCAGGCAAATAACAAATAACCCTTCTCATGTGGACATTATATTTGTAGATAGCTACATGATATAGACTGCATGAAGGAAGGAAAACTTTGTTTACACAATGAATCTCACATGATATATCTTTATTTTCTTTTAGATAAACATAGGTATACAATGTTGAAGAAATCCTCTTGAAAATGTGTCGAGACTAGTGTTAAACATGTTGTTATTTGATACTTCTAAGAAATAAATTCAATTCTGATATTAATATGCTAAATAACCAGATCAGGAATTCAAGAATTTAAACGATTATTCTTATTAAACACTAACTGCATGCCGTGTACGTGAGTACAAAAAATAAAATTAATTTGACTATGAGAAAAATACACGAAATCAATTGAATTAGCTACGTGAATAGGATTTTCAATGTGTCATATCATGCACAAAAAATTAATTATCGTATAAACGTAATTAATTACTGTCACACATGTTCAAGCAGTGGTTCTCAATCTGCGGTCCGTGAGAGCTTCACAAATGTGTTTCGGCACTAAAGGTTCTAGATTTTAGTACATTCGATTTGAGTGGGATTTTTAAGGACCTACGAATTTTTCCAGAAACCAATAAATAACATTTTGATCAATTCCAAATTTTTATTTTTCATGTCTAGGACTAAACTAAGAATTTTCCCAGCTTCATGATTCATCAGATATATAAAGGTAGGCTTTCTTATTAAAATTGAATTTTAAAGTAAAGTTTATAGAATCCTGTAAGTCGTCAAATCTTTAAATTAGCGTCCAATGTGCCGTGAATCAAAAAAGTTTGAGAAATACTGAATTAGAGGATTGATTACCAAATAAAATACAAATATTAAGAATTACAAAAATATATATTGACATATCTTATCAATGAATTGCATGTAGATTAGATTATACAGCATTTTGGAACCAAAAAAAAAAAATACAAGTTTAGTTCACTTCAATCGCTCAAACAAGACAAAAAAAAACAGTAAAAATCGTAGATTGTGAGTTTTTCAGCATGTGGAATATAATGTACCAAGATTTAAAATTTAAATAATTAATTAATTACATTATTCAAGTAATTAAATATTCAAAAAATTTCATTTCATGTTCAAAGTCTTCACATAATCTTCTTATCGACACTAGCAAAGGCTTATAAGAAAGAAGTCAGCTGTAAAGTTTCCATAAATGAAGAATTCGGAAAAGTTTGCCTGTTGGAAAATGTAAATCTACAGACGAAGGTGAACATTCAGGATAAATCTTTTAAATATGTTTTCTTTCAAAATTCCGAAATTGAATTTTTTACGGATGAGTTTGTCGAGCAGCTGGAGGGGATTGAATTCTTGAATGTTAATGATGTTGGTCTTAAACATATTGATGGTAACATCCTTGGGAGACTTAATGAAATTATAGTATTCTGGGGGTCTCAAAATGAAATCGAAAGAGTTGATGCTAATACATTTTATGAATGTTTAAATTTGGAACTGATATCATTGAAATTTAATCAAATTTCATTCATTGATGAAGATGCATTTTATGGTTTGGAGTATTTATATAAATTGGATTTATCTTCGAATCGACTAAAGAATATTGAAAGAATTTTCAAAAATCTTTATAGCTTAGTTGATCTTGACTTATCATCAAATAGGATAGAATATTTAAATGATGAAACTTTTAAGCATTTATCAAATCTTTATGCATTGAGTTTAGCAAAGAATAATTTGAAATTTTTAAATCCAAAAGCATTTGATCCACTAGTGAGTTTAGAGTATCTTAATCTATGCTTCAATAAATCTCCAATTCCTATAATTTATGAGCGATTTCTCAAGTATAATGTTAATATGAAGAATATTCTCTTGTGTAATAATAAAATCAAAGCAATTGAGAGAGATTTTTTTCTTAATATCAAACCTAGTCTTGATTTAATATTACTGAGAATGAATTCATGTACAAATCAAGACTTTACTGTTAGGAGCAAAACAATTATAAGTAATGAATTAATAAAATTTCAATTGTGTTATGATAATTTTGTTGATTATCGTGTTTAAAATCAATAAATGTGTTAATTATTATGAATTTTTTTCTGAATAAAATGCCTTGTAACATTTAATTAAATCGAAATAATAGAATTTAGAACTGTTTTATGCAAATTATCTTTTATAGCTATAACGTTTAAAAGTTATGGAAATTTTAGCAGTTTACTATTGAGTGTTTACAATATATTGATTTAAATTGATTTTCTGATTAGAGGTAAGTTGAAATTAGATGTCATTTTATACAAACTTCATTAATTTTGTCTATATTACTTTTAAACTTTTACATACTTGCCAGTAATTAAAAAACTGAAACAAATCTTTAATATCTCAAAAAATCAAATTAATCTTGATTAACATTAATTAATTAGTAAATTAGAAGTAATCCAATTTTGTTTAAATGAAATAAAAGCAATTTTAAAAAATTTAAATGAAAAATCTATATCTGCATGCATAATAGAACGCAAATATTTGTGCATAAATAAGTTGAATAAATAAATAAGCAGCAAAAAGAATTTATATAGATATAAAGAGAGGAGAAAAGCAACAACAAAAAAGACAGAAAAAACAACAACTCAATTCATATAATAATAAATTGCTCAACCTACCCACTAAAAATCATGTGTTGCTGCACAATTTCAAAAGAGAACAAAAATCGTCGCTTCGACTCAATGTTGAATGCATTTGAATGTTTTTCGACGATTAGCATTCAACATTATCGTAGATGCTTGTGATTCGTTTACACACTCTCTTTTATTATCTCGTCAAATTTTGTCGACTCAAGACGTAAGTTTGTTTCACTTGTGCGCATATTTCCATGTGCTGTTCTAAGTGTAAATAAAAGCAAAAAAAGTAAAGACATTTCAAGAGGAGAGTTAATGAAGTAGAGGAGGAAAAGAAAGATATTAAATTTTATACTGAAGTGCTAGTTGGAATATAAAATATATATAAAAAAGAAATAATTAAAAGGAAGAGCATTTAATATCGTCAAGTGGAACGAGTCTCATTAATAAAGAAATGATATAAAAAAGAAACTGACATTTTCAAGTCTCTCTAATCTGCAGTATATTTAAACAAGAAGAGACGATTCGACCTCGACTTGGTGCCTATCAGCAATTCATTAAATTGTTAATTAAACTACAAATGTATAATTAATGTGAGCTTCTTTATAATCGACGCAGAGTTAATTTTAAAAGAGTGAAATATAAACACAACAATCACATTTCTTGACGTAATTTTGATAACGACTTTGCCTCAATCTCTCACATGGTCGAGAAAAAAAAATAAAAGAAATCTTTTGAAGAATTTGAGTTAATTTAATCAAACGAAGAAATAAATTTATACAAAAAAAAAAGGCACAGGAGGGAGAATACTAAAAATTAATTCTTTATTGTGTGTGAAAAAAAAATCACTGAATTAAATTTGATGTGGGCTTGATATAATAATAACAATAAAAATCAACAACACAAAAAAATATAATTTTTTTCTCCGTGAATTAATAAATAATGTCTAATTAAAATTACTTAATTCATTTCCAAACGAAAAAAATAAAATAACTCTACACCGACATTCGTTCATTTGCAGTGAATTATAAAAACAACAAAAAAAATATTGTTAATTAAAAAGGAATTGTGTTGTATGTAACGAGCTCGCGGGTTAAGAGAGAGAGAAAGAAACGATTCGCGGCTTTGTGAGAAATCATTAAATGTTTATAATTAAATGATTAAATGAATGAAATTTAATTCGCCGTACGCAATAAGATAGAAAAGAAATAAGCTGTAGAAGAAGAAGAAGTGAAATAGGAAAGAGAGTGAGCTTGTGTGTAATTAAGTCTCATAGCTGCTTAATTAAATTGTTCTGTGGATAATTCATACCTTCAGATCCGGTGGAATTCAAGTGAGTAATAGTGTTAGTAAACTTAATTAATGCCATATTTATACGTCTCTCTTTCTATATAATATAATTAAGCTGTGTTGAATTTAATGCAGTAACTGAGTCTGTGCATAAATAGAGAAGGGAAATTGTTGGTTTTGCGAAATCGTTGATTACAATTTTACACGATTGAAATGAAATTAAGATCGCGTGAAATGTGAATTATAAGAAAAAATTAACCGTAATGTCATTAAATTGTTTCTTTAATGATTACTGGATATTATTGCTCCTGTCTGCAATAAATGCACATACAAATGAAAAAAATCATTAATATGCTAATTTCTGAATCTAAATACATATATTTATATGTAGATGCAATCGCCTTATTTGTCGTCAGCATCACTATGAATCTTTAAATTGAAATGAATGTGAGTCTTGTGACGAGTTTTGATGCAATTAATTGCCAACTGCATCTTACATACCTTTCAATTATTGCAAATTGAATTAATGAGTGAGCTAATTAAGAGTGTCTATCCGTCTATTTCCAATGTGTCGATTTAAAATTCCAAGAAATTGAATTGAAAATAATTTAATTAAATTTTCCGATGAAAAAATTCCTCACGCTCGCACTTTTTTTTTTATTGAATTAAAATTAAAACGAGTGGCAAGAAGAAGCTTAATGAGATTTCCATTATTTTTTTTTTGTGGATAACAAAAGGTAGTAAAATCTCATTATGAAGTCATTCAATGAATTTCTATTTCCTATAAAATACCAAAATGCAATCTTACCGCTTCCATTGCCCTATTGTTGTTCTTGTGCGTTACAAAAATTTCTTAATTGGATTCTTGAGTAAATCTTTTTAATTCCATACCTTTCTTTCACATATACTAGACACAAAAAAAGGGGTTTTTGGATAATAAAACAGCAACAACCCTTTCACATGTGAATTTTCATTCACCTTAGTGAACAATATTTAATAATGAGCACTTCTGCTACATAAATATACACATACTGAGAATTAATTCTCGAATCAATGCATACTTGTTGATAAATTACCGCGAATAGATATAAAAGCTAAGCTGATGATTACTTTAAATTCCCCTATTGCCTTACAATTTCAAAAGAAATAGATGAAAGAATTTTTAATTAAATCCCAAAAAAAAAAATTACAAATTCTTTTCTGTGAATGAACCAGAAAAAATTTCTTCCTCTTTTGTTAGTGCTACATGACTTCAATTTCACATGTGAACGGTAGAAATAATTTTATTGAAGAAAGGATTTCATGCGAGAACTAGCTACATGTTTAAATGTCGTAAAGCGTGTTAAATTTTATATTTTAAAAATTGCAACATTGTTTATTGGGAAAAGAAAAGAGTTGAAAAGGAAGGAAAGAAAAAAAATATTTATTCGCTCTCTTAAAACTTGTTTTACACACATGTAATTACTGTAAATATATATGGTAACAGGCAATAGCTTTATCAGTGCATTCAGTTATTCTTATTTTATTTTATTTTAATAAAATTCCTCATTCATAATTCACCGTGAAATTCGTCCGTATTCTTCACATAGTTGATGAAGGGTTGTTATTCTAAATGTGTAAAATTTAATTTTAATTCACAATAGAAGAAAAGGAATAGGATTAATATCATGGTCTTCATGAAAATATGGGTCATATTTTGCATTTTGCGGTTGTCAGGAAGATTTAAGTTAATAAAAGAAAATTTCGTTCCTGTTTTATAGAAATAATAATAATTAATTTACAGCTTGAACAGATGGAGTCGTGACGGAAGATAACTTTGTGGTCATCTTTTACATTTTTTAAAATTGAACGTCTAATTTGATTGACTTTAAACCTTTTAAAATGACACTTAAAGGATTGATATATCACACTGCATTCATATAAGAAGCAATAAGTCATTAAGTATGAAATTAATTTCTCTGTTCGTTATAAGATGCAAATAAATCTTCAATTTATTGCATTTATGTATTCTTTACATTTCTTTCTCGCATATGAATAGCCATGCTAATATCTTAATTGAAATACAGACTTAAAGTTCTCAATTTATTGTTCCTTACCCTTTTACTCTTCTCATTCGTGTCTGACATATAACTTGATATATAATATGTCTCTTATATAGTTACGGAAGCAGACAATTTGCATCAATAAAGACAACTGCAATTTACTTCAATCTTAAGATGCATTAAAAATTGCGACATTTCTGTAAATTGCCTTTGCAAAAGTCCACATTATATTGCATTGGTTTCAATTAATTTAATTTTCGTTCTCATGTTTAATGTCTATATAGCTGCAAAGGTGGAAAAATAAAATTTAATTTCATTGCGCTTCATTAAATTAATTAATGTGTCGAAATGATTTTCATAATTATTTGACACCTGCTATGCAACATTGCACGCATTGCATGGTCTTCATCATTATGCGTATTTAATTTTTAATTAATAAAATATTCATGACATTATCATTGTTGCATAAAACACAATTTATGTTACAATCTGGTCTGTAGATGGGCTCAAAAATTGAAATTGGATGACATGCATTTTTACGGATTTTTACACCTTTTTTGTTTTATTAATTAAAAATCATTCTTCATCTATTTAAACTTACATATTTAATCAATTTTTTATTAAATAGAATTGAATTTAAATTTAAATAAAACAAAGTGTAAAAGTTATAATTTATGTTGTTTACACAGCAATTGGATGTTTTTAACTAGAAACAAATAAATTAATTTACAAACAAGCTTTAATTTCAAAAGAAAAAATCATGAAGTTTTATTTGCATTTATAAATAATTTTACGTTTCATTTTAAGCTAAGTTAATCTGACAGTTAAAAACAAGTGTCATTTGATGGAGAGCTTGAATTGTTTTTATTATTTTCGTAAAGCATTTAATGGTAATTTAGATTATGCTTTTCTATAGAAATCACATTTTAGGATTTTTTTTGAATTATAAAATAATAAATTGAATTTATAAATAGTAATTAGGAATTTATTAACGTTAAAATTCCGAGAAGTTGAGTTGTAAAAATTACTAGAAGTAATAAGTGATATTTTTTCCACCTTAATTGAATTTAAAACTATAATTATGCAGCAATTTATCTAAATATGACTTTGATTTGAATTGAATTACTTACAATTAATAAATTGAGTATTTTGCACTTTTATCCCAAAAACTTTGAGTTGACTTTGGCAATCCACACAAGAAAGTAAATAAATGCAAGCAGCGATTAATTAGAAAAGCATTAAGTAATGAGAATTTAAAAGTTCCAGAGCATAATTAAGAAATGTAATTAAAAAATGATTTTAAACGTACTTCCTATAAGTCAACACAACAACAATTTGAGTAGAAGTAGAATTCTTGAAACGAAGGGGAAGAAGGTAGGAACGAAGAAACATCAAAGTACAAAGTAATGAAAAGAATCAAGAAAGTAATTTAATTATTAAAAATAATTATTTTTTTGAACATATAAAACCGCACACATGCTTCCAATTTACGTTTATTAAAGTGCGACATTTGTAATTTGAAACTGCATTTTTATGAAGTGAAAAGATGAGACAAAATATTTACTTTATGTAAACAACTCGACATAAAATGAAATGCGAGAAACTGATAAAGAACAAACCTTTAAAAAACAATCTCATTCGGTGGCTACGAATGAAATTAAATATAAAATTAAAGCATATAAGAATTGTCGTTTAATTAATTCATTGAATGCTCAAGCAACAATGCTGTGTGCATGCTGGTGGGCATATAGAATTAAAATGAGAAAGCAAATAACCAACACGAAGAATTTTTTCTTCGCATTCAAGTGAACAACGACAACATGTGATCCCATGTGACTCAAAAAAAATACTTGTCGCTTATGGTCAACAGATGCTGTTAATGAATGTCAACATTAATGGATAAAAGCATAAATGATCTTTTAAAGGAATTTCTATTCTGTTTGCTAGACATTCATTCTAGCAACAACAAAAAAATAGCATACGGAATGAGCAAAACAAAAGAATGAGAATAATTTGATTTTATGCGAGAGTAAGCAACTCTCTATGAGTGCATAAACAGTGCAATTTTTTATATAATTTCTTTCAAAAAGTGCATGTAAATTAATTAATGCTTGTTTCATGTTTAAATATTCGAAACATGTTTCTTACTTACATATATTCACTTAAATATGTATATGGTGCTCATAATTATAATTTTGATGCATTTAATTAGTGCAAACTCGGAGCGTTTTTTGCGCAATTATACATCGTCGGATTAATTTAAATCACTTTAATTAAGTTTTGATATTTGCTTTGCATTTTCTAAAAACGAAAGAGACTTTTATAACTTTAAGTCCGCCTGACTGAACATAGAGGAACTGGATCTTATAGTTCAGTATTAAGGGGTCGGTTTCCAGGGGTATACAGGGATGAATCGAAGATCTAAGGTACAATAAGGTATAATTTCTGAATGGTACCCTGAGCAGCACTTGTAGCCAGTTATAAAAAGCCAATCTAGCAAGAAAATGCGTCTTAATCTTTAATATCATTTCCATCCTATTTAATTAGTAATTATTGTAAAACTCTTGTTACATAAACATGAAAACTTAGTAATTAAATGAATCATTGATGCATTAATTGACTTTGTCATTAATTCCCCATTTCTTTCTAATTATTTCTCTACAACAAACATTCTTTTTTTTGCTATAATTATGATGAAAAAACTTTAATTAACAATGAGTCATTAATTTCTGATGCGTGTTTTAATTAAGATGCAAATTTTTTTAATATCATTTCTTAAGAAATTGCAAGAAAATGCTCAACTCTTATTCCATAATAAAATGTAGTTGCGATAATATTAGAAAGCATTAAATTAAGTATCGTTAAAATTTTTGAGAAAAATGTGATGCTCATTAGGGTTTTAAAAATTAATAACTTAATAACATTCTCATAAGAAGAAAAAATCATTTCAAGTAATTACTTAAAAGTTTACAGCTATTCCCAATAATCAATGACGAGACATATTGAAGCAATTATTGGTTAACGAGGCATTGTAGAATTGAAGTTGAATTAATTACCAAATTTTGTAAACGACAATAAATTATAAGCTAATAAGGTTATAACTTAACTGTTAAATAATCACTAGTTTTATGATCAGTTTAACAATTCCATAATTAGTTAATAGAAATCATTTATCAACCTTTGTCTTCTTTGCCTTAACATTTGCGAAATTATGCAAAAATTTTAAATTAATTTCTTCTATAAATCTTTATCCTTTTCAGATAAAGTTTTCATAATGCACTCAACAATGGAGACAAAACCGGACATTCAAAATCATCATCCTTCTGCAACATCACATTCAGGCGGTTCAGTAAATGGCACATCTCAACAAACTCAGCAGCAAATTCAACAACAGCAATCAACACACAATAATCAACAACAAAATAACTCTAGTCAACTATGTGCAGGCTGTGGCAAACATATAGCAGATAAATTTTTGCTTCGAGCATTAGATTTGTTATGGCATGAAGACTGCTTGGTAAGACTGCTTGTTTTAAAATTAATTTTTTCAAGTAAACCCAAAAATCCAATTGATTTTGAATTTTTCAAACCTGCTCCAAATTTGAAATCTATTTAATTTCTATTCATGTCTATGTCTACTCCTTAGGTCTGTGGTTGCTGTAATGCTAGGCTGGGAGAAGTTGGAAGTACTCTATTTCAGAAAGGGAATTTAATGTTATGTAAAAGAGACTATTTGAGGCTGTTTGGCAACACAGGGTATTGTGCGGCATGCAATAAAGTGATTCCAGCATTCGAAATGGTTATGCGAGCAAGAAGTAACGTGTATCATTTGGAGTGTTTTGCATGTCAACAATGTAACCATAGGTAAGGATATATTAATGCATTAAATAATTTAACAGTCAAAGAATCAGTTTCGATTTTTCTCGGTCTACATTCTTTTATGACTTTGTGATTTCCCATACGACCACTTACAACCAATTTACCATGCGATAAAAATTCAAAATATTCATCCTTTAAGGAATTTACGACTCTTAAAGAAGTGTGAATCTTCATGCATAAAACATTCTTTGCTACCCAATAAAATGCGATTTCTTTCAGTAATTCTAGCATCCGATATGTAGCATAAATTGGTTTCAGACAAAAAGAGAGAAAGAGGAAAAAAAATCGTAAAACAAACAAGAAAAGTTGAAATAAATTTCTAACAGCACATTTGGGTGTCATTTGTCCAATTTTCAAGTTGTTTGTAGTCACATTCCCACCATAATCGTACATTCACATAAATTCATATTTGCTGAATGTTTTAGTTAAACTTGTATGTATGAATACACAAAACTCTTTCTCACAATGTGAAATGAAACATGAATTTTTTTTCCATCCCATTCCTGAGTAGCTGTATACTGTATAATTCTGCATATGATATGGGAATATTATCATCATACATTCACATGTTCTATGTAGATAGATGGAAATACAAAACTAACTTATTTGCATACGATTTACGTGAATAACATGCTCGCTCTACTCTTTTCAGTTTTCATGTATCATTTCACAAAATTTTTAATCCCCAAATTTATTCTCAACACATTTTGAAATGATAATTTTCATTAAATCACACCAATTATGCTGAGCTTTATGATATAGAATATAATTTTTGGTTGTACCTTCCGTGCTGTATTTAAATCTAATTTTAGATATGGGGCCGTTCACTTATTACGTAACGCTTTTTGGGGGAGGGGGGGGGTCTAAGACTTTGTAACGGTTCAAACAAGGAATTTTTTTTTTCATACAAATTTTGTTACGAGGGGGGGGGGTCTAAGAAGTCATTTTTTCGCGTTACGTAATAAGTGAACAGCCCCTATGTGATTCATCACACTTGTGGAATTATGAATGGCTTTTAGTCTTTGATAGATTTTTATTTATTAATTTCTATTTTCAATTTTTTTTTTTGGCAGATTCTGCGTTGGTGACAAGTTTTATTTGTGTGATAACAAAATCCTTTGTGAATATGATTACGAGGAGCGTCTAGTGTTTGCATCAATGGCAAATCATCCAATCTTAAAGCGAAATGCAACTGTAAATCTTCCAGGCACACCACCAACACTTCCAAGCATTCCAACTTCCGTGCCATCACCAATTCAGCAGAATGGTCATCATCATGGTCTTTTATCAAATTTAGCATCATCTCCACGATCTCAAAATAATGATTTAAATAATAATCAAAATGGATTAAATGGTGTATCGTCACCGTTTGGAACTCCAGGGCATATGAAGCAGGTTATTACTACTAACTGAAATCAGGCACGTTGGCACAAATGGAATGGCTAAATTAGATTTTAATTTTAAATTAAACTTCAGAAATTAGTTGCTTGTTAAATATTATTTCCTTATTTTTTCGTATGAATCGTTATGTGACTATCTTCTGTAGTATTAAATTATGAATTTCCAAGTTGAATTTTACAACAAATTTCCTTAATTTTACTTAAATAGTACAATATATGAGAAAAATTAAATTTTTTTAACAACTTATAATATCTCCTTAATCAGTAACTGTGCCAAATGAAATACTCAACAAAGATTCATCGAAAATTCTCTGTATTATGAAGCAACTTTCTATAATTAATGAAAGAACAAGCTCAAAATAAAAATATTTTATATTATATAAGCCAAATAGTAAATGGAACACTCCTTGCAAATCGTAGGGTTAAAAAATAATATGATATAAAATCAAATGTCACATTTATAAACAATGTGGAAATTATTTTAAATTTATAATGACATTTAGATGATTTAAGAATCATTTCTTTATTGAAATAAGGTACCCGAATAGCACAAGTCGGTTAATCGATCAGAAATTCGACAAAAAGCTTGTGTGACTCTAGCATGGTGCTGGATTTAAAACCAAACAAGCATCAGTCGGCTTAACGCTGGATTTCTATTATATTAACCAAGGCGTGGAAACTCAGGATTAATCCTGAAAAAAACCGAAAAAAAAATTCCTGAGCCAATAAACATGGAAATGTGAAATCTCTTTTAAATCCCTGATGCATTTGATGAATAACTTCACATTTTCATGTTTATGACTCAGGGATTTTTTTAGGATTTTTCAGAATTAATCCTGAGTTTCCACGCCTTGATATTAACCGACTTGTGCTATTCGTGCTATAGCTTCATAAACTATATCCAGAATGATTTTTAAATTGTCTAAATTGCAATAAATACATAATTATATTCACATTCAACAATAAAAACTTAAAAATTCATACTGTAATGGGTTAAAATTGAATTAATAAAATAATTACAATATTAATTAGATTAAGGGTGATATAAAATTCTCTAAAATGTATGTACATCATAAGATGAAGAAGAAAAAAATTGTTATCAGTGTATTAAAATAAATTAATTCAAATTTCAAATCTACCAAAGATTATTCCTAGAAAAAAATAATAAAATGAAAAGAATTAAAAAAGAAAAAAAATAAAGTCTGTATAATCGTATAAAATATAAAAAACTTAACTTTGTATTAACAAAATGACCATTAAAGTATGCCACAAACATCTCTTATGAAGTAATAATGTTTCTCTGATCTTTTACATCATGTTTATGGATGCCTTAAGTGGATTTTAAAAAGGAAAACCACAGAAAGGGATTCAATGTCGGTGAAGGTGAGGGAATTTTTCCATCTTCAATGAGGGAAATACGTAAAATTATCTCTCCTTTATAACTGTAAATTTACCAATTAAATTTGCATAAAATTACCATCGAGGTGTGAACAATAATTGAGAGACGGTCGAGACACTTGAAACTTTTTTTTTTGTTCAATTATTTCTGCAAGTAGCTTATACTTTTTATATGAATATTTAAAGGAACTCATAAAAGTTGGCAATTATACATTCAGTTTTATCATTCATTATGTTAAAGCTCCACCCTCTGAATGTATACTTTTTTTTCTCTTCTCTGCTCTGCTATGCTTTATATTTTGGGGAGAGAAATTTTTTTTTCATGCTCACTCATTGAAGGCGGGTACAACTTTCTTGAAAGCTTTTTTTGGGGGGATGCGCAGAAAGGAATGCTTGTCTTATCAGATAAAGAAATTTCTTCTGGCAATGCTGTGAGAAATCTTGTGAAAACATTGGATTAATTTAAGCAAAACGATGGAAGTACTTTTTAATATTTTTAAAAAAAATTATTCGCAATTTCAACATTAATTTTTTAATTTTAGTAGACACAGATTAGACCTTAAGTTTCTACTGGAAACAGAACCATTAGCCATTTTTGGGCATTTCAAAAATATGAGGATGTCTTAAGACCTTATGCACCATGCAATGTGCCTGGTCGACTTCTAATCGTACTTAAAAAATCTTTATTAATTTTAACCTCAATCTAATTAGCAACCTAGTTACTCTCTTCGATATAATAAAATGTATCATGCTGTTAAACTTCCTTATAAAATACACGACAATTATGCAAATAAGAAAACAAATTTTTCTCCAGCGAAGGAACACTTTTAACTTGTTCTAATCAGATAAATAAAAAACTTCTAAATTTCCTCCACAACATTTTTTTTGTTTGCACGATTTTATGCCTGAAATTACGAGCAGGAAGGGAAAGAGTACATAAAATAAAACAGTCGGAAAGGGTTGAAAATTCTCATTTTTATTTATTTTTCTTCTGTTTTTGTGTTAACAAAAGAAATGAAACCGAAAAAAAGTTTTCCTTTCTTCGTTAAGCATCACACGTCTCAATCAGGTGCCACATCTCATTCAAAAAAAAAAGAGAAAAAAGTGGATGAAAAGTATTTTTTATTTTTTTATCTTATTTTATTTCATTTCCATCATTGTGTGTTTTAATCAATCTAATTAAGTTAAATGAAGATAAAATTTGAATCAAGTAAGAAATGACAACGAAGATTGCAGCGCATTTGGGGGGGGGTTAATGAAACATTTCTTGGAAATTTTCACTTATGACGTCCGACATTAACGGTCATTTTTCTAAAAGAACAATGGATTTCCAGGATTATTATTCTTCTCTTTTTGACCCCCCCCCCCCTTGAACGTCATAACTGAATGGCCCCTAAGAAGTGTTTACACGATTTTGTTTCCACGTTATAGATTTTGACCTCAGCCTTACGAACCACTTTTGACAACACCCCTGAACAATATGCAAACTGCATCCAAAAACAAACTTCTAGTCAAAGTGATGCTCCAAAAACGTTGATTTTGCTCAAATTGTTAATCAGTAAAGTTTAATTGTCTTGTTTAATTTGTTCCTCCCTCACTTCTTTTCTCTGAACATTCACTGAATAATGACAATTTCCAGAGATTTTTATTACTTGAATTGCTTTTTTAATTCAACTCTTTTCCTCCCTTCTTTTGTTCCTTTTTCCAATGTGAATATGAAGGATTTCAAGTGGAAAAGATACTCTCAAAATGCCAAACAGTCAAACATCCCCCATCTCTTTCATTTTTTTGGGGGGTGTTATGTGCGTTATTATTATTTTTATTACTACTCACCTAAAAAATAATCATCACATTTAATTGCAAAATGAAAATACGAATATTTTTCTGTGTGATAATTTTAATCGTCATGAGATGTTTTAATTTGCATTAATAAATGTTGGGGTTTTAAAATTTTTCCAGCCTTTTGTTCTCTCCCTTTCTACATTTCTTTGTTTTCTTTCTCTCCGTGGCACAATTATTTGCATAAATGTGAAATTTGTGTAATGTTTTGAAACATTTCCCCCCAACTCGTGTATCTATTTTTGTTTAAAATTCTTCACTTAACTTCAATCATTTTTAGAGTGTGAGGATAAAGGGTTTGGGAAAATTCCGACGGATTTAGGATAATATAAGAAGTAAGAAGTAATAATAAAAGGAATTCTCATCTAGAAATAAAAGAGAACATCAAACAACAAGCGAAATACTTTTTTGTATAATAATTTGAATTATATCGTCAAGTATGCAAGGTAGAAAAACTTTGTAGATTCAGATTACCTTAGCATCAGCTATATAGGAACTCAAGAAGAATCTCATGAATATCATTTGATACTGTAAAAAAAATCACACACAATTTACCTTTTTTCAAATTACATAAAAGCATTTTATTCATCTCCTCTAATGTTTCAAGCTATTAAGATGATTGCGCTATTCAAAGTTTTTGTTGTACACAGAGAAAAATAAAAACAACAAGTAAGGATGGTGGATAAACATAAATCCAATGCCATTTATATTTCCACTTGCTTTATATTCATGCATTCTCTGTGTATCGTGCAACAAAAAAATGCCATCATCATCATCAACAACATCATCGTTTGTAGAAAATGTAAATCAAGTAAAAATCTAAAAGAGAAAGAATAAAAACCATTTGGAAGGAAAGCTTTATGCTTGATACATTTGTAGCATTTAAATGAGTTTAAAATTTGAGAATGAAAGGGTTGCGACAAAAGGCAGTAGTGCCATAAATTCATTTTAAATTAGAATTGGGTTATTTATTGCCTCAAATAGAGAAATTAAAGTGACGTGATTTTATTTCTCTAATTAATGAAACAGAAAGTTCTGAATTTTAAGTTTTTGAATTTAAATAAAGTTTTTTTTTCAAGCCACAAATAAATCTTGCATCATCATCGACATTGTTAAAATATTTTTAAATAAAAGAATCTTCACATTGAAAAATGATGTGATAACATCTTGCAAAATACCCTAACTTCCATAAAACTTTCTTCATAACCCTTTAATGGTTGTTAGCACAGACAATTTATTTATATTAAGGACTTTACCAGGATCTTCTTGTCATTTTCCATCATCATTTTCTGTGGTGAGCCGCATTGAAATTTTAAAGTGTAAACAGTTTGTACCCATTTTAAAAGCATAACACTGATAAGAGCATAATGGCTAGAAAAAGGTTCGCAGTTTGTTGTTTGCGGTTTTCCTTTAAATAAAAAATAAATAGATAGAAATCACGAAAACATAAAGCTGGTGGCATTTTTTTTTGAATTGAATAAAAAGTCATTTTTGTCGCCTTCTCGAACACTTCGTAAAGACTGATAAGCGAGATGAAAAGTCGTTATGGGAAAAAAGTCATAAATTGTTCTTTTGTTGTCACTTTTTTTTCATCCCTCGAATGATATACTGATAAATTGAGGGATGCTATGGTCTTTTGCATGAACGTTTTTTATTGTCTGACTTTTTTTTATTTGGTATTCTTTTGATCCTTCGACCTCAAGTAAATTTTTTATTCTATTAAGTTGTCAAAAATATTATAGAGTCCAAATCATTAATCAAAATTAATTGAAATTTTCTGTTGGATCAATTGACTGGAGAAATGGAATCACGAACAATGATAGTTAATAAATTTTGAATTTCGAACATTGAAAATTCACATCACGAGTTCAGATATTTGCACACAATATGTTACCACACACATGTAAAAATAAATATGAAGATTTTTCTGATTCTTTACATTTCCACACATTTTCACTTATGCTTTACATTTTCATTTCCCATTCAATTGCCTTCTCATCTTATCTCTCGAAATTGATGTTTTGCTGTAAAATTTCTGTTGTGGTTTTTATTCTCCTTCAACTCTCAATTCAACCACAAATCGATTGCTTTTTCAGGAAAACTAAACTTAAAATTTCTTTGTCTTATCTCACCCTCATACATGCTGCATTATAGTTTTCTTGTGTAAACATTTTTGGAAAATTTTATTAAAACCACAGAAAATTCGAAATCTTTTATGAATGAATAAAATTGGAAACTAAAGAATGAGTTGGTGGTGTGAGGAAGCTTCTTCTTTTATGATGTAGGCAAAAAAAAAATAGATGAATGGCATTTATTTGATCAGAATATCAAATTTTGTGGAAAGAAACTTTGAAATGATTTATGATGAAGATGTTTTCTCATTCATTGTCTGTACTCGATTCATGCGGGAGGCTAATTTTCTGAAAATTGGCAAACACATGTTCCTGTGAAGTGTTTAAAGTATCTTTCTAAGTCAACCTGCTATTAAATCTGTTTTCGTTTCCATAAATTGCCACTTAATATAACAGTGATTTG